TCCTGATTGGCTTACCCCTAAATGTAATCTGCTTCCTTTCTCTTGTAGCTTTTAAAATTCTCTCCTTATTCTGTATGTTGGGCATCTTCATTATAATGTGTCTAGGTGTGGATCTCTTATGATTTTGCACATTCGGCGTCCTGTAGGCTTCTAGGATTTGGGAATCTGTCTCATTCTTCAAGTCTGGGAAGTTTTCTCGTATTATTTCATTGAATAGATTGCTCATTCCTTTGGTTTGAAACTCTGTCCCTTCCTGTATCCCAATGACTCTTAAATTTGGTCTCTTGATGTTATCCCATATTTCTTGGATGTTCTGCTCATGGTTTCTTAACAGTCTTGCTGAGCTGTCTATGTTCTTTTCAAGTTGAAATACTTTGTCTTCATTGTCTGATGTTCTATCTTCTAAGTGTTCTACTCTGCTGGTAGTATTCTCCATTGAGTTTTTAAGTTGGTTTATTGCTTCCTGCATTTCTAGGATTTCTGTTTGTTTGTTTTTTATAACCTCTATCTCCCTGTATAGTTGATCCTTTGCTTCCTGGATTTGTTTGTGTAATTCATTGTCAAAGTGATCTTTCATTGTCTGATTTTGCTGTCTAATGTCTTCCTTGATACTCCAGATCATCTGAAGCATGTATATCCTGAATTCTTTATCTGACATTCCATCTGCTGCAGCTGTTACCTCTTCTAAAGTTGAGTTGACCTGCATTGCTTGTGGTCCTTTCTTTCCTTGTCTTTTCATACTGCTTGTGTTTCTTTCTGCTTGGTGAAACTGTTGTGTTTTTGAAATGTTTTTTTCCCCTATATATTTATATTGCTCTTGTATAGTTGAAAAGTCTCCCTTGCAGGGTCGGGCGGCTGTCTGCCTACCTTGCATGAGCGGGCGGCGGCTCTGCTCTCTCCTTACTCCAATTGGAGTGTCGTGACTACCACGCCCGCAGATCACTGGGCCTGTTCCGGGCGCGGGCGGCGGCTCTGTTCTGCCCCTACTCCAATTGGGGTGACTTGTCTACCACACCCGCGGACCGCTGAGCCTGTTCCGGGCGCGGGCGAAGGCTCTGTTCTGTTCCTACTCCAATTGGGGTGACGTGCCTACCACCCCTGCCGGCCACTGGGTCTGTTCCACCGGTCGGTCGCAGTTCTGCCTACCTTGCGGGCACGGGCGGCGGCTCTGCTCTGCCCCTACTCCAAATGGGGTGACGTGTCTGTCGCACCGGTAGGCCACTGGGCCTGTCCTGCTGGTCGGTCGCAGGTCTGCCCACGTTTCGGGCACGGGTGGCGGCTCTGCTCTGCCCCTACTCCAATTGGTGTGTCGTGACTACCACGCCGGCAGGTCGCTGGGCCTGTTCCTGGCAGGGGCGGCAACTCTGCTCTGCCCCTACTCCAATTGGGGTGACAAGTGTACCACGCCGGCAGGCTCCTGGGCCTGATCCGCCGGTCTGTCGCAGGTCTGCCTACCTTGCAGGTGCGGGCGGCTGCTCTGCCCTGCCCCTCCTACCACGCCTGCGGACCGCTGGGCCTGATCTGCAGCTTGGTCGCAGGTCTGCTCACCCTGCGGGCACGGGTGGCGGTTCCGCTCCGCCCCCACTCCAATTGGGGTCACGTGACCACCAAACCGGCGGGGCCTGATCGGGTGTCTGTGCCTCACCCTCCCTACCAGGAGACCAACTGTTTCTGTTGCCGCTGGTATTGATGAAGTTCTCTCCTCTGCCGCTTTCTGATGACATCAGATCTCTGCCATGTTGGTATCCTATGCGAATGGCAGCATTTCGTTCCCTTTGCCGGGTAACCAAAGCAACGGGTGATTCCTGACCGGTCCTCAGCAGGACCCGGACTGAGAAGCAGTTTCCACGGGCTCCTTAGCCCTGGGCCAGGGCAGCTCCAGGTGCCGGAACTCGGCCGCTCTGTGCTCGGTGTATGCTCTGATAAGAGCAGGCTCCAAGAAACACTCAGGCACTGAGCCTGAGTAATCTGTCTGCAAGCCGCAGGCGAATGGCAGCCTGAAATTACCTGTTCTATGGCTGAATGAGCTGCGGTCAGTCGAAAACAGGGATGGTGACGTCAGCTCTCCAGTATGGTGGCTGCTGGCCTCCTCTGTGGTCTGACCGGTGTGGAGAACCGAGATGGACCGCTTCCTTCCCCCGTCTCGAACCCAGAATTCAGCACTGAGTACGGCGCTTGCACGGCTGGCAGAAACTGCAGCGCTGTATCCCTGCGCCACTGTCTCCTCGTTTCCCAGCGCGCGCTGCAGACTCTAGCCGCTGGGCGATTTGCTGAATAAGCAGTGTTACCCTCTGTGCGACAAATCTCTCGCGTTTGAGTCCCCGTAGCCGATCCTCGTGCGATGGAAATCCTTCCTCCAGGTTCCGGAGCACCCCACTATTGCTGGAAATTCCTAACAAGATAGCCTTTAGCAGTCCTGACTCGTCATACTCCCACACAGTGACACGGCACACGGGGGCAATGCACTCCCCTCGCCGCCATCTTCTTCCAGAAGTCGAAATGTTTTGATCTTTATGAGATTTTTTTTCTGCTTTGATATTAATAAAGATGACTTGCAGAAATTTCCTAAGTTATTTTGGAATTTCCAAGTAGTAGAAAAAACATAACTTCAATACAACACCAATAATGGTTTCTTAATTTCTTTCATGTAGGTTTCTTTTAGCTTAACCTTAAAATATATTATCTGAGGCATCCAGCATTATATCCTCCATCAGAATGTAGTTGTTACTCTTTCTTCTGAGACCTGATATTACTTCTTAGTTAAATCCATTTTTCCTTTGTTTAATCGGTTTTACATTTTATGGTTTTTAAGTTTATTTATTTACCTAACTTTTTTGTGGTGCTGGGGATCAAACCCAGGACCTCCCACATGCTACACATGCACTGGACCACTACACCGCAGCCTGTGTCTTTTTTGATTTTTTAAAATTGGGACTTGTTGGATTTTGTAATTGTTTGACTTTAGAAGTGTACCGTAAATTACTTTTTATTGAAGTAAAATTTTAGGTCACAAATGCAGTTATCCTATTTTTAGAAATCTTAGTTGTATGAATTTCATTTTATGAATTTTAATATGCACACTGTTTCAAATAACTACTATATGTTTCAGACAGAGCTTGAGAATAAACTACAGCAGCAGTCAGCACAGGCAGCCCAGGAACTTGCAGCAGAGAAAGAGAAAATATCAGTGTTACAGAACACCTACGAAAAATGTCAAGAAAATCTAAAACAACTTCAATCTGATTTCTATGGGAAGGAATCTGAACTTCTGGCCACAAGACAAGATCTTAAGGTATAATAAACTATATTATATCTTAGAAACTCAGTTACTTGTTTATAGACAGTCATTAAATGATTCATTTGAGCACAAATGGGAAAGGGAAGGCTAATATTTGAGAAATATCATAATGGTTTTCTACTAAATTACTACATTTGGATTAGCATGCTTTAAAATTAATTTTTTTTTTTTTTTTTTTTTTTTTTTTTTTGTGGGGTAGGATCCCAGAGATTGAACTCAGGGGCACTTGGCCACTGAGCCACATCCTCAGCCCTATTTTATATTTTATTTAGAGACAGGTTCTCCCTGAGTTGTTTGCTGAGGCTGGCTTTGAACTCTCAATCCTCCTGCCTCAGCCTCCTGAACCACTGGAATTACAGGCGTGTGCACTATACCCGGCCATATGTGAGCATTTAAAAATGAGTTATGCAGGTGTGGTGGTGCACACTATAATCCTGTGGTTTGGGAGGCTGAGGCAGGAGGATCGAAAGTTAAAAGCCACCCTTAGCAATTTATCGAGGCCCTAAGCAACTCAGCAAGAACCTGTTTCAAAATAAAAAAGATAAAAGGGCTGGGGATGTGGCTCAGTGGCTAAGTGCTCCTGGGCTTAATTCCTGTTACTGCCCCCAAATAAATAAATAAACAAAATAAATAAGTGGATTATATCTATCATAGTAGAATATTTCAGCATGTTAGTTTGTACACTATTAGTGTATCTAAGTGTTTTATGCTTTTCTTTGAAAATGACTTCAAAGATCTGCTGTTAAAAAATCATTTAATGAGTTTTAAATGTTAATCACTTGGGAAAAATGCCGACAATCTTGCTCTTGCTTGTCAGGCAATTCTGACTCTAGTTTTGTATATTTATCAACTTCCCTAGATTACTGAAATGCACAATGATTAAATTAGGAAGTCAGAGCTCAAATGAATCCTAACCTTAATTATCTAACAAGGTATAGAAATTTTATCCTTGGTAATACTATATTATTTGATAAAGTGTATGTTTATTAAAATAAAGGATATGGAAAAAAGGTAAACAATTTTTATATAATATTAAGGTATCAATTCTCTAAGGGAAATGGAATATGTGTGTTGTCTCAGAAGTTTCAGTCAGTTTTTTTCCTCTCTATTTTTTCTTTTTCTTTCTTTCTTTCTTTCTCTTTTTTTGTTTGTTTTTTGGTAAGGTGAAATATGATGTTTTCTGTTTCTATCCTATGTTTGGGATTTGTTTATTTAATTTAAAGTGCACTACTGGAAAATTCTGTTGAAAAATCACAGAATGTTAAAATGTTTTAAATATATAATGTTTATATTTTATTCCAAGGCTCTTGTAGGGAAGACTTTATAAAGGAGGTAGGATTTGATTAGGTCCTGCAGGATATGTGGAATTTGAATATGCAGGATCCTAGAAAGGTCATTTTACTCAGAGGCACAGTTTGAGAAAAGGTGCCACAATGGGAATAAACAGGCAGGACATATAATTGTCTTGTTCAAGTGCTGGTTTATGTGTGGAATTTAGGTTTTAAAAAGTAGGATCTGAGAGCTGGGGTTATGGCTCAGCAGTAGAGTGCTCGCCTAGCATGCATGAAGCGCTAGTTCAATCCTCAGTACCACATAAAGATAAATAAAGGTATTGTGTCCATCTACAACTAAAAAAAAAGTAGGCTTTAAATAGTGAAGTATCTTAGATGCCTAATAAAGATGATTGAACTTTATATTTGGTGGTGGGGCGGGGGAAGTAAAGTCTAAGCAGAGAATAAATGAAGAAAAGAGACTTTGGAAACTTAACTTGGAGTGGGTTGTCGTGGTAGGGAAATTAGCTAAGAGGTTATATCTCTTTCAGGAATGAATTGATTAGAATTAGGAATAAAGTTAATGAGGAAGGAATAGAAGAGATTAACCACACAGAGATGACACAAAAGGGCTGAATGCATAGTAGGCTACAAGGAAAGTGAGAGAAGAAATGATAATTCATGATTTCACAAAGAATAAGAAATTGGGTAAAATAATTGTCATACTGCCAATAGTACATACATATATGTACTTATATGTGACAGAAAGAGCAAGAGAGATCAAAAGATCAAAATAAGAAAGCATAAGAAAAAAAAAATCACTTAACATTTAGGTGGTGTTAAATTGTTGTTCTTTTCTTCAAAACACTGTTGTAATTCAGGGAAAATTTGTGAGGGATTTTAGACTTAACCCAAAGGCATTAGGAACCACTGAAGACATTGCATAGATTTGTATTTTGGGTAAATGATTGGCTGCAGAATGAGGAAGGAAGATAAATATAGAGACTAGGGAGAAGGCTTTACAGTAGTCCAAGTGCAAGATACTTTTTGGGCTGTTACTTGTTTGGGCTAGTAGTAGCAGTAAGGATGGAGAAAAGTGATTGAATTTGAAGGATATTGAAATGATAGAAGATTTGAAACTTAATGGTTGTAAAAGTCTTGTAGAAATCACTCTTTTCATATAGATAGATTATTTATCCAGAGTATAACCTAATAATGGGACTTATGTCTCCTTAATCAATAGTTTTCATTATAAGCCATATTTTTTATTATATCTGAAATCTGTATTTCATATTAATAATTTCATACATGAAAGAATAATTCAAATGTAAATATGAGCAAAAAGAAAACAGAGGGCCAATCATCTACAGCGTTTTAAACTAAGAGGCCTTGGCTAGATCTCTATTCTAAAGCTTGCTTCTATAGGTAAGGGCAGGCCTAACACTGTACAATAATAAAACATGGTCACATCTGTGTTCTTATTCAAAGCTTCTATTCTTTCTTTCATCACCATTTTACTAGAATTTTTTTTTAAACAAAAGATTTATAAATCCTGTATTAATGCCTTTAAAATGAGAAGTATATGAACTACTTAGGAAATTAATGTAAAATAAAGGATAAATACCTAGGGAAGTACAAATGATACTTATAGACCAGAATGAGATCATTACCAACCATTATTTTTCTTTTTCTTCAGTGATGTTATATGATCTTGTAGATAAGAGAGAGAGAAAAGGGAAAGATTCAGAACCTTGTGTGACATGATACCCATCTAAGTTAAGGCTGCTTGACCACTGTGGGATGACAGTGTGTACTTGGACACCAGTAAGATGGAAGACAGCCTGGCCTGATTTACGCTGCTGGATCACTTATGAAACACTTAAGTTTGTTGACTGCATATTTCAAATTAGTTATGCTGTATATATTTCTTGGTTGTCCAGGAAAGGTAAAAGTGGAATTTAATTGTAAATTTTATACCTTGAGTAAAGGGGAAATTCTAGGGTAGTAAGTTTAGGATTAAATTGAAATCTTTTCAACTTAGTACTCTCTCTTCTGTCATTTTATCATACGTCAACAAAAAGTAATAACTAAAATTGTAAAGGTTTTATTTTGAAAGGAGATTGGGAAATTTTGTTAAATAGGTAAAAATAAATAGCCACCCCACAATACTGCAGGAACTCTCTTTTGCTGAGATACTATAATGTGAGTGGCATGATCAGTGTTACTGTTGATAGTTGTTATACTCAAGGATTTCCTATTGCAGTGGGTATGGATATAGGAATGGGTTTAGACAATTCCAATAAAATCATGGAATGGGAGAAGGGGGCTTCTGAAGCTGAGCAGATAAGATAACATGGTTTATAAGAAATATAAAAAGAACATTTAAAATGCATGACCGTATGCCACAGAATAACATAGATGAATATTCAGAGGCAGGGGATAGCAATGTGTCTTAGCATCTTCAAAAGGACCTCATAGAACATTCCAAATTTGAGGTTGACTGTAAAGAACTAATCACTGGTTTCAAATTTTACAGGCCATGAGTTTAAGATTTTATAATCCATGTCCATTTTCAAATTTTTGTGGACATTTTAGAATTTTTGTGGAATTCTCTGGAGTACTATTGCTTTCCAGACTCTGGTAAACCTTGGTATTCCTTAGTATTAGATTAGACCCTCTATTGCCTTATTCTAGTTGCAATAGACTTAATGGACTAGTTTTGCAAATTTTATTGTCTACATGTGAAGTCCCTCTTATGCTTCATGACATATAGGTAAGTTCCTAAATGTACTCTGGAGACTTCTGTGAACCACATTCCTCAGAGGGTCTCACACTCATTGTTTTCTGGTGCTTTTGACACATAGCAAGTGTTTCACTGCCCTATATGATTTCATGTTACATGCCTATTTTGTTTTTCAGGCTACCTAGTCAATTCCTGTAAATTAAGCACTGTCTTATACCTTTCTCACTTAGTGGTTAGCTGGCTGATTAGTAAAGAGCCTTAACGGGTTTATTGTCTGACTGGAAGTCATTAAAAATTAAAATTTAATTTATATAAGAAAGAATTCTGAACTTGGTTATTGATAAGGAGTAAACTTTTTTAGGAACCTTAAGAATCCCGATAAATGAGGTCCTCATTTATTTTTACTTATGTATAGTCCTAGTATTTTTACTCATTATATATAATCCTAGTCACTAAAGATCTTTTCCTGAATTATATTGTCTGCTGCCTTTTCAAAGAAACTGTATGACCCACGTTAGAAAACTCAGTTTCTAGATCTGGTGAAAGAGCATCTTGGAGTTGGTTCTCAGCCCCTGGTGTATGACAGCAAAAGCAGCTGAGAGTAGCACAGTTCCTGCCATTTCTTTTATTTAACTATCACCACATCTTCCCCCAAATGAAACCTAATTGGAGGGGGGGAGATTACCCTTTCTTCAACTTGAATTTCTCAAAGCGTTTGGGTCTTAGTATAGTCAATGATTGTGGTCTGTTAATTGACAGTAACTATTTGTACCACATAGGCAGTTGAGAGGATGGACTGGTATTCCTCTCAGGATATAGCCTCAGATGTTTGAATTTTTCTTTTGATTCACCTGATCAAATAACTATGAAACACTTTCTCTCTTTTTTTTTTCCTAAAGACAAAAAACCTTCTTATTTATCAAAGTTTTTAATATGTCTAAGGACCTCATATATCCTACAAAATGTATATGTGTACATAATGTAGCATTTAACTCTTTTAAAATTGTGTTATTTTGTATCTCCCCAGTCTTTTCTCTCCCCCCCTCTACACACACACACACACACACACACACACACATACACACACTCACGAGGTCTTCATTTATTTTTACTTAGATTATATATTATATATACTTAGATTATATGTAATCTAAGTATATTTGATATGGTCCCTACTTATTTGATAGTTTTTCACATTACCTGGCCAATATTGAAGATTTGATAAGCATTCAGTATTGAAAGGTGTAATATTCTCTTTTTATAGTATAGTCAGCTGCTGCATAGCGATGTTTCAGTTAGCAACAGACCGCATATACTGAGGTGTTTAATAAGATTATAATGGAGCTGAGAAATTCCTATTGCCTGGTATTTTTACTGGAACATTTCTGTTTTCAAATGTTTAGATACACAAGTACTTTACATTGTGTTACCATATTCAGTGCAATAACATGCTTAACAGGTTTTTAGCAATTCTTAAAAGAAAGAATTGACTTTTACTAAGGGAAAGTAGAAATTTATTTTATATAAACAATGTTTGCTTTACCATGTAACAATAGGCTCTACCACATTACCTTGGTGTGGAGTAAGCTGTACCATCTAGGTTTGTGTATGTGCACTTTGTGATGCTCACATGACAAAATTAGCTAACAAGGATGTCCAGAACATGCCCTCATGGTTAAATGATGCATGACTGTATTGTTTTCCATAATGCTTATATTAACTATTATGTTGCTATCGAAATTTATTAAAAGATGGCATATAATAATTTGGGGAAAAATTCTTTTTACAAGTCTGTAGAAGAGAAGCTTTCTCTAGCACAGGAGGACTTGATATCAAACAGAAATCAAATTGGAAACCAAAATAAATTGATTCAAGAATTGAAGACTGCCAAAGCTGCTTTGGAACAGGATTCAGCAAAGAAAGAACAGCAATTGAAGGAGCAGTGTAAAACACTCCAAGATACTCAAAAAGAAAAGGTATTTCATTTTCTGACTTAAATGCAGAACCTTAAAGCTTCAGTGGTTTGGAGATCATCCAGTCAAATCTCTTAACCTCATGTTCAATACAGGTATCATCTTTAGTTTCAACAGCTCTTTCAGAAGGACGTCTAGAACAGGCTAAAACATGCTTGGTCATTGGAAGTTTTGTGCTAGGAAGTACTTCTTAGTAACCTCCTTGCCAGCTCTACCCATTTTTTTCTCACTGCTTTGCTTAGTTTTATAAGCAACTACTTTTTACACCATAGAATCTTGGTTATTTAAGAACAGATATTGCATTTCCTCAGCTATGTCTCATATTACATTTGTCCTCTAAATGTGTCAATGAGATAATAAAAGGTCTAGGAATAAGTCTTAAGTTTGTTAAGAATTCTTAAAAGAAAGAATTGACTTTACTGAGAGCAAGTAGAAATTTATTTTATATAAATAATGTGAAGTTATGAAGTTGAAAGCATTGGTTTATATGACAAATACATTATTAAAACACTTTAAACTTTATATAGAGAAATTCAGACTCCAGAAACTTTTTGTTTTTTGTTTATTATTTGAAATTATATATTCCTATCAGCTGATAGGCATTATTCTAAATAATTCCTGAAGTTCTTGGTATGTTCTAAATTGTGCAATTCTCAAAATTCTTTTTTAATTAAAAAAATTGTGGATGATTTTGTGTATATAAGGATGGTGAAGTTGGAATGGAATTCATGATTTATACCTTAAGTTTGGGAAGTTCTGACTGAATTATATGGTGTGTGTGTGTGTATGTGTGTGTGTGTGTTAGTTACTGGGGATTGAACCCAACAGTATGGCACCACTGAGCTCCATCTTCAGCCCCTTTTTTAAAATGTTATTTTGAGACAGAGTCTCAGTTGCCCAGGCTGATCTAGCAATCCTCCTGCTTCAGCCTCACAAATAGCTGGGATTATAGGTATACACCATCACAACAAGCTAGAACTATAGTTTTTAGATATTGCAACAGTGTTCATCAGATACATCTGGTTTCAGAATTAACTCCATCTGTGATGGATTATTTGTCTTAAACTTTTGATCTTTCACCTATAAAATGGGGATTAAAAATCTATTTATTTCAGAGATTAAATGATGCTTAATGTTCTAATAGGTACCTATGTAAAGATAGTGATACTGATAGAATAGGAGTTAGAAGAATAAGAATGGTATTTTGGGCTACATTTTATAGAATTGCTGCTCTGGTCAGACATTGTCCATTTTACAGTATTAACTATAACCATTTAGTCTTTATAAAGATATTATTGAAGGAGGTAGGCAAGACAGGGTATATTAATTTGCTTCAATTAAGTACAAAGGGGAGTGCTAGTGTCATCAATAGTCACAGTATTTTGATTATACTAATTTTCATTTGAGTCTTTGCTTTGAAATTATGTTTTAATGAAACTTATTTTTCTACAGTCAATAAAAGAAAAAGAACTAGCAAATGAAAAATCTAAATTGGCAGAGATAGAGGAAATTAAGTGTAGACAAGAAAAAGAAATCACCAAGCTGAGTGAAGAACTCAAGTCCCACAAACAAGAAAGCATAAAGGTATATTAAAATAATTACTTTCCTTTCCTCTGTGTTGTTGGATTTTTCTATAAAATTATATATGTGTTGATATATACTAATATGTTATATTAGGAAAATTGAGAGCAAATTACCATGTGCTAGGTAAATTATTTTGTTGTTTTTGACCAATATCTCTTGCCAGAGTGCTTTTTGCATTACATGATTCCTATATATACCTATGATAACTGTAAGATATTAGGTTTCATTGAATGATAATTAAGAGAGATTATTTTAGCAAATGATGCTCATGGATAATAAAAATATGTAAGAATTTGGAATTAAGATTTTAAGGAATTCTGTTTTTTTCCAATTATTTTACTTCTTAAAATCCTTTAATAATCTCATTTTTAACATTTTGCCTGTTATAAGCACAGATATGGTGTCAGCTAAAGAAAGCATTTATCATTTGCTTTATAAAATGTTATTCATTTTCTTAGAGAAAAGTCAGATTCTCTCAAGTGCTCTCTGAATACTCTTTATTTCTATCAGCACACTTGGCATTTTGCATCATAATTTGTAATCTCATGCCCTTCTATTCTTCCGGAATTGACTTCCTTAAAGCAGGAAAGTCCTATAACTCATTACAGCCTCAGAATGTAACAATGTGTGATGACTCAATGATGACCTATAATAAATAAATGCTTATTAAGTGAGAAAAGGGAGAGGAGGGGATGGAGAGCTTCTCCACATAATATAATCAAAACATGCACCTGCCACATGTCACCTGGGTTAAATGATGAGTGGGCAGGAGGCAAATTTATTCTTGCATCTTTTTAGCCAACTGTTCCAAATGTTGAACTTGAAGAATCTCATATGTGAGTAAACTCATTGTGTCTGTGGTAAATAGCATAAATTTCAGCTGCCTTGTGACATATTTATTATCAAGAATGATTTATTGTTTTACCTTTCAACAGGAGGTAACCAATCTCAAGGATGCCAAACAACTTTTAATTCAGCAAAAATTAGAACTTCAAGGAAAAGTAGACTCATTAAAGGCAACTCTTGAACAGGAGAAGAGAAACCTGCAGATACTAACAGAGCAGGTGAAAAAGGAAGAAGATGAGCTGAAGAAAGAATTTGTTGAGAAAGAAGCTAAACTGGTCAGTGAGTTAGTGGTGGGAAGTATGTTGAACAGCACTCTAAATCAGTCCAGGGGGAAGATTTTTTTCTATCTAAGTTTCTATCTAAGTTCTAAGTTATGACGGATGTTATGCTTTCTTAAGATTTTAGTTTTCAAGAAAGGAGATCTGATTTGCTTAAATAGTTGACATGTGATTGGAAATATTTTATCTGTTATCATATTTTGTTTATATCAGTGAAAATTCAATTAAAATATAATTTAAAAAGTCATTTTTTTTTGTTCCAGAAATGTTTGAAACACTTAAACCCACAAACTTATAGATTGAGGTAAATGGGGTGAAAGCTACTCATGTGAAATTTGTTTTGTCAAAGTGAATGTTGATAAGGGGAATTGGAAACTTCAGTTTGGAATTAGGATGAACAAAGTCAGCTTTTCCTTCCCTGAGCTGTACATGCCAAATGGGAAGCATCTGGCTTTCCTTTATTGAATTAACTCAATATCCCTAGATAACTTGACTGCTGAATATTCTAGATGAAGAGTTGGAATTTTAAGTTCAAAGAGTGACTTGAAGGGCTTGTATTGTGGTTTTTGGCAGGTTGATAGAGACTAAAGGATACATTGAGTGACCTAAGGATGTGCCAGCTTTATCTCTAGGGCATCATGCTGTTCCTACCATGTGTGTCTTCCCCTGCTCTGGTAGAAAAAATAAGACTTTCAAGTCGTGTCATTTAACCTGGACCTTATGAGAGGCCTGCTCCCCATCATTTCAGGATTATAGCATTTGAACCCATTCAAATTATACAGATGTTTGCAGAATAAGTTTTATTTGTGTCTAGTGAAATATATTCTCTTACCTCCTTTCCTAAAGCAGCAATATTATTTATATTGCCAATATTTTTAATTTAATAAATTAATTTTGTAATAGTCCCCCACACACACACATTTTTTTTTTTCTTTTCTCAGCATTCTGAAATAAAAGAAAAGGAAGTGGGAATGAAGAAACATGAAGAAAATGAGGCTAAACTTACCATGCAGATTACAGCATTGAATGAGAATTTGGGCACTGTAAAGAAGGAGTGGCAGTCTAGTCAACGGAGAGTTAGTGAGCTAGAGAAACAGACTGACGACTTACGTGGTGAGATTGCAGTCTTAGAAGCCACGGTTCAGAATAATCAAGACGAAAGGAGAGCACTGCTAGAAAGGTAATTGATGTTAACTAAAGTAGTTCATTTCCATTGTAGGTAATTAAAAGATTGTTACAGTCCACATTTTTAGAATACAAGAATTAAGAAAAGTATGTTAAGGCCTACAGGTATTTAAGTAGACATTTAAAAGACTGATCCTTAGAACAATCAAATAATTGAAATGAATGTGTTTATATTTAAAATTACTAACTAGTCCATGGCCTATATTCTAGAAAGATTCTTTCGTGATTTTTTTAATTTGCCTCGGTTTTTTATTTTTTATGTGGTGCTAAGGATTGAACCCAGCGCCTCCTCACATGTGCTAGGCAAGTGCTCCACCATTGAGCCACAGCCCTAGCTCATCATGATTTTTTTTTTTTAATTAATTCTCTCTTTTCTATCTGTTCCAGATGTCTTAAAGGAGAAGGTGAAATAGAAAAGCTTCAGACCAAAGTCCTAGAATTGCAAAGAAAGCTGGATAATACAACTGCAGCAGTGCAGGAGCTGGGCAGAGAAAACCAGTCCCTTCAGGTAAGTTACTTGAGATGTGAGGCAGTTTCTCAGACTAGAATTGACCTTTTAATGTAAAGCAGGGCTGGGGTGTGGCTCAATACAAGAGTGCTTACCTAGCATATGCCCTGGGTTAGATCCCAGCACTGGAAAAAAACAAAACAAAACAGAACTCATGTTTAATAAATTTTTTCAAATAGCTACTGTCTGTACAGTGATATTATAGGTTTTATAGGTTATTAAATATAAATTTGCTTACTTTATGATAAAGGACTTCTTCAGAGATCTCAGAGATCAGTTTGAGAACCATGTCATTCATGAATTGTCAGTACAGGGAAAGAATTAACAAAATTCAAGAATACCCAAGAATGGAAAAATCAAGATGTGTTAAAAAAGTGATGTAAGTATGTTCTTAGAATCCCTAGAAAGGATTGATCATTAGAGTTAGGCTAATTATCAGTGCCTCTGAGGAATAAATTTTAATTTTATTTTCATTCAGATTTTTTTTTGACAAATGAAAGTTGAACAAAATATTTTTAATTTTTAAAATTTTATTCCATGTTGTAGACAGCCAAAATTTTGTACATATCTGGTACCATATTAGAAATAATTTATCATTCTTTATAATATTCAATATCATAATACATTGGAACTTTTTTTAAAAAAAACAGATCAAACATACACAAGCGTTGAATAGAAAGTGGGCTGAGGACAACGAAGTACAGAACTGTATGGCCTGTGGGAAAGGCTTCTCGGTCACAGTGAGACGGGTGAGTGGGTTGATTCCTGGAGCTACATTTCTGGATCTCATTTCTCACTGATAGTATTTTAATCATCAAAATAGTTCTGCATTTAATGAATTTTTTAAAAATTCCATTTGTTGGTAAACTTTATAACTACATAGAATAATTAAATTTCATGTAGTCTAGTTTCTGGTTAGCCTGTGTTTGAATTTTAGTTTTAAATTCAGTCATCGTTTTCCTACTGAGTTATTCTATGGGACATTTTTGGATCCAGTGCACCAGTGTTGAACTCATGAAGTTTAGTCATCAATGGGTTCTTTTAAAGGAAGAAAAAGCAGAGAGATGTAAAGATACATATTTGAAATAGTACTGTTTAAATAATTATGTGTAAATTCCAATTGAAGACAGTATTTCTGAAACATTTGGCAAACAGATATAGTTTTTTGTTCGATATGTGTGTTTTCACACTTAAAATATGCTTTTTAGAGTTCTTTTGAAAATTTTATGATAAAAACAGGCATAAAATGTTTATATAGTGTTTAATAAATAAGAAAGTCTTCACTTTAATGTAACAAAGGGGTTAAATTAACATGTTGAAATATTCTTTCATTAAGTAATAGGATAATCACTGGAAAATCAGTATACCTTTACAGTGTAGTCTGTGACTATACTACTGTAGTTTTATAATGCTTTTGTTATAGTGTTTGTGCTTGAAATTGTTTAATTTTTATCATTTACAGCATCACTGTCGTCAGTGTGGAAATATCTTCTGTGCTGAATGTTCAGCCAAAAACGCCTTAACTCCCTCTTCCAAGAAGCCTGTTCGCGTCTGCGATGCATGTTTCAATGACTTGCAAGGCTAACAGTCATCACAACTCCAGAGTAATATCACACTAACATTAGATTTTTAATAAATGTGCTTAATAGAGGTCTTGGACTACTCTTTGATTTGGATTCTGGTTGCAATACTAGACCAAATTAGAATCCGTATATTTTGGAACGTTATCGATATCAACAAAAACTCTTCTATTTTTGTGAGACTTGAGTTCATCTTTCATTATTTTTTCCATTTAACCCCTGGAATAGCTTTCATGCCAAGTTTAGAATTAGCCAATGAAATGTAAATAAACTTTGGACAGAAAATAGCAATGTATTTTTTTAAATATAATTTCATTGTTCACAAACAATGAGTACAATTCCATAGGTTCTTTCTCCCAAATTATATGTACAAAGATGTACATGGATCATGTTATCATTTGTTTTTGTTGCACAACAGCACACTATTGTTTTAAGCATTCTTTTTGTGGAATCATGCACAGAATTATAAAACTTTCTATCTTTATCATTTATATATAGGTCTGTAGCTCAGTTTTGTTGTTATGTTATAAATTTACTACTTGGGTGTTTTAAATACAGTTTGTGTTAAAATATGTACTAACCATGAATTCAAACATAGTTTTTGTCCTAATGATATGGATTAAATTCTCTTTAGTAGATTTTATGAAAACCTCTATAAAATCAATTTGCTTACTTTATGGTAATCCTGGGATAGTATTTAGAAGATTAGGGTTAAATTTTCTTTTTCTTTTTTATTTTTAAACTCCCAATATTTTTCATTAAAAATCCTATAAAGCTTCTCACCTTCACCATCAGTTGAAAGATGAATAATAGAAATTGTATCATGGTCCTATTCTAGTTTTCTCGTAAGTGGGAAGTCTTCTGAGGTTAGCTTTCATGTTATACCTTCATTTTGTCTCTCTAACATCTTTAGGAGTCTGAGTTTACTTTTTAATAGATCTGATTTTTTTCCTTTATTTGATTTTATCTTCCCAAGCATAGCCCAATGTCACTGTAATTGTTTTATAATTTTGCATCTTAAAGCTAGAAAATGGTATTGCTATGGTCTTTGCCATGAAAACAAAATACAAAATGATAAGAAAGTATTAAATATTCTACTTCACATTTTCTTCTTACCTAAAGGAAGAATTTTTAAAAGTTGTAAAATTTACTTGAAATGCTTTTGAATTGGGACCTATATTAACTTGGAAATCTTTTTAACTTTGAAAAAATAATGCTTGGAAATTACCTCTAAGTAACAGCTAGAGAATAGAGTATCACCTAAAACAAATATATTTATATGATAACAAGTGAAACAGAATTACCACACACTTTAAGGGTAACTAAGAATTAACCCTCTGTATGCTGAACAATGGAATTGAACTTTATTTTGTCATTGTCTTGTTAATTTAGAAAACTGGAAAGCATCTGAAGACCGAAGTCACAAATATTAGTTTATTAATTATCTTTCTAGAGAAGAAATGTAGAGTCATAACATTCATTCAGTTGGAATCATTTAATAACTGTAACAGCTAAGGATGAGAGTTAATATTTCATTTACCACAAATAATTTATAAGATGCACTTGCTTTCAAATATCATTCTGAAATGAAATTATGTTTATGTCATACCTACACATATATAAATAAAGAGATTGTCACATATTCATTTAATTACTAAAAAGAATTTATAGAAATCCTGTTGTCAGCCAGTAGCTAGCTATTAAGGACATTGGTTAAATCCATGAACTTGTATAAACATATCCTTGAGCATCTATAATGAAGAAATAAATACTATGGTTCTTTATGAAAAATAATAGTTGGGATAATATAAACTGAATGACTTATGCATTTTAAATACTAATAAATTCTTTCAAAATTATCTTAATTTTATACATTTACATGTAAGTAACACTGTATATGTTGGAAAAACAGATATTCACAATACTGTTGTGAATTGTTTGTTTTGTAGTTGTTTTAAGATAATAAAACTTCATAAATGTTTTTTTTTTTTAAGATAGTAAAACTTCATGAATGAGAATGCTGGATTAGAAAGTCAACTTCATCAAATTGGACACACTACAGACTTCTGGGTCTTCCACCCCCACTCACCCACACATATTCACAATTGTAGGGACAGCAAATAAAACAATGTGTGTTTGAGTGACTTTTCTGTTTTTTTTTCTAATTAATCTCATTTGATAGGTCTCAATAATTTACCTATTTAGGCTATTATATTGATAATATAAATGAAACCAAACATTCTTGCTATTAACTCAGCAGTTTAATGTGTTTTGGAAATAAAAAGGGTTTTTCCCCCCTTTTAATTAAAAAGTCCTTTTCTGAGTTCTTGTTGGCTATATACATTTTAGATGTTTGCTGGTACTATTATTTTTTCAGTACATTGGAGCTGGCAAATGCAGGGTCTCATTTCTTGGTTCTAATGCCAAACATGTTGGCATCGAGTGTTAGTAAATTGCAAACCACAGAATTGTGAGTTAAAATCAAGTCTTGCTGGCTTAGTGTGTAATAAATTATACTGACAGAATTCTTTTAATAGAAAGAAGGCAAAGTTGCTGGTATAGGATTTGTTAATTTTGAAGGAAAAAAGAGGGGGAAAAAAACATAAAAACCTCAATACAGTGTACAAATAAACATTTTGTTCAACTACCTCTTAAAGTGGAATTAGCTAGTTTAGTAGTTTCCGTACAGTAATGTTTTTAAATAGTAACTGCCAAATTTGTTATTTTCCCATCTCTCTTAAAAAGTCTTTATGATTATTTTATATAGTTTTGGGATCTTTAAAGTCACTTTTTTTAATCTTGCACTTGCTTAAAAATGTTTAGCTTTTAAGTGGAGAGCAAATTATGATCATATATTTTGATATTCATGACCTGTTTGATGATAGAATTTTTTTTAATGCACTTTGGCTATAAAACCATGGATGATTTGATCCATATGATTTAAATGTGCCATCGAGTTAGTATTCTTAGACACGAGCCTGATGAATGACAGTCTGTAATTATAATGTGCCACACATTACTGTGTCTTAATTGCCCTATGCCTGAATTTTAATGATCAATTTGTTATTGTTGCAGATGTGAATATTGTGCATAAACTTACTAAATTTATGTAAAATTGTATAAAATAGAATTGGAAATCACTTAAGTTCTTTCCATGTAGAAGTAATGAACTTACTGTAACATGATGTAGTCGTGTGTAAGACATTCTGTACTTCCTTGGACTGGATCATATATTCATAGCTTCTGTACATACCTTTGCATGAATATTTTCTCATTTAGTTTTTGGGTCCATTATTTGTGTTGTATTTACTACTTGTGATCATGTAGTTGTGCCTTATTTTGTGAGAGAGTTTAGCTCAGTAAATACTGTAATTTCTAACCTCAGTGATTCGGGTTATTAATTATAAATATAACTGGTAAACCACATCACAACATTTAAATCTGTATAAAGACCAATGGAAGGATCCTTGCTGGATTATTGCTTTTGTCTTTTTTTAATATGTTAAAGATGATATTAAAAAACATTTCTTTCTAATAGACGTATTCTATGACTATAAATTATTTCATCTGTTTTAAAAAAGAGAACAAAATATACAAAGCCAATCTCAGCAACTTAGTGAGGGCCTAAGCAACTTGGTGAGACCCTGTCTCTAAAAGTATTTTAAAAGGGCTGGGGATGTGGCTCAGTGGTTGAGCACCCCTGGCTTCAATCCCTAGTACCAAAATAACAAAAGAGAACAAAATATTAACCATTTTGCATCAGTTTATTTACAGACTATTAGTACTGTGCACTTGGATATATACAGTGATAATGTTTTAATGTCATTCAACTTAGGATAGTAATTAAGTTCCTGATCTCAAGAGAAATTAAATGCCATTTTGCTTGAGACATTTCCTTTTCACTCTTTTCCATGTTGTGGAGAATTAAAAAAATGAAAAAAATATCAAAAATATAAAATTAATCTCCCTTTTATTGTGTGTGTAATTTTAATACCCAGGTGACCATTTAAAGATACTTTTTTGAAGACTCAATATAACTTTTTTCCCCCTGTCTTATTCTTTATTGGAATCAAGGGACTGGAGGAATCTTGAGCGATTGCCTAGTCCTAATACATTGCTTTCCTCTTTGGGAGGTTTATAACAAAAATAGTAAAAATTCCCTTGCAAGATGATCATTAATTTTTTTCCTAAAAATATTTATTTTAGCCATAAATTTCTTCATAAATCTTTTCTTACATAAACCTATATTGTCTTCTCCTGGACATAATTGCTTTTAATCCCACCCAGATACCATCTCTTGGAACTCATTTGAAATCTGTTCTCCTTTTCTTTGCCTTGTCCTCTTCTCATTTATAAATATTAAGCTATATGAACAAGAGTTACCACTTTCCAGATATTCCTTTTATTTTCACTTATTCCTAACAAATGCCTGACACTACTATAGAGACCATGAATCTCATTCCAATAGTGCGTGGCTTTTGCACAAGAGCTTGTCTGCTGTGCTTGCTCACACTACCGTGTTTGCATGGTGACATCTGTGGCTTCTTCAAAGAATCACTGTGCATGTGACTTCTGCAAACATCATCCTCTCTATTTTGTTCTTCAGCTTTAATAAAACAGTTAAGTTTTCAGTTTTCTGGAAGCAAAATTTGATAAATGTGTTTTTCCACTTTGGAAACTGCAAAAGGCACCATGCCTGAGATGGAAGTTTGTGGACTTCCATATGATGCTATCTGACCCTAAAAACAGGTTTCCTTAAATTCAGTTAATGGTATAACCCACCATGATAATAGTTCAAGTTGATTTTTCTGATAAAAAATTTGAAAAGTTCTAAGTTCTGTTGAATAAATTGACTATACTGTATTAACATGCACACGTACACATACCACACAAATCCAGAAATTTTTTTCATACATAACCACCATTCTTCAAAAAAACAAAGATACTAACTATTTCTATGAACGTCTTCCATATTAAAATTTTAGTTGGTGGATGTAGAAGAGAGATTTGTTTTTCTTTTTTAAAATAAAATAATGGAATTCGATCTTTGGGTTTTTTTTCCTGTCCAAGTTAGTGTAATATGAATACACCTAAGATGAGTAAACTGACCGGTAGAGAAAAGGAATTTAAAAACTGCTGTTAAAATATAGAACTTATTTATTTCTGAATATATTAAAAGGGCAAACTTTGTATCAAAAATTATCATTGTGCTTGAGGTAAGACTCTGAAGCAGTAAGACTCACTCACAAGCGATATAGGAAAATTGGTTTCATTACTTAATAGATAAATAAAATGTCAGAATTCATACTGGACACAAGCAGTGGACCTTGTTTTCTTTCTGATATTCCATTTATCTGACCATTCATTCTTTATCAATTTCAATAGCACCATTCTTCACTCATGCTTCCTACAAATCTGACTTAAATATTAGAAGATAGTCTGAATATCAATATGTTGCTGTTAAGAAGTTCCTCAGAGTTCAAATTTCTTGCAGTCATTATTCCTCTATACTAAGGACTTTCCTAGCTCAAATTTTCAAATCTTGGAACACCTTTAGAATGAATGCACATTTCCTTCTACTTCATTACTAGGTTAAGTGTTACCAAAAGATTGAATGAAAGAATACTTAAAGCCCTAAACTCTAATAAAGTTTGCCACTTGTTTAGGTCCCTAAATTTCAGAGGATTCTGCAGTTAGTTTGATTAATGCTATTTTCTTGGTTTCCTGACTCTTGGTGAAGCAAGAGATAGCTGCTGTTATTTGTGTCATCCATGTTTTCTGTGAAAAAAGAAAAACACACCTAGATTAGAATGCTAAACAGATCGTTTCTCACCATGTGTGGATTCGTATTTTCCATTATATTTATTGGCTTGATTTTTAAAACTGAAGACTAACAAAACATTTGCATACGTTTTTCATTTTCTTTCTTACCTCTAAATACCTCTAATCATACAGAAAAATGCAAATGGCTTAAATGAATATGGTGTGCAAGTTGGATAAATAGTCATGAGTAATCAAGGAACCATAATCGTCAATGATGACTAATTAGAAAAATGAGTACTGAGAATAAAAATAGTTTGGAAGTTGATTTTCTTGACTTCCCATTAAGAAACTGAGGTTCTTAACCAGTGGTATAATTTGAAAACCAGACTCTAAGGGAGCTAAATCCAGAAAATTGAGTTCTTTAAGAATAAAGAAATGTTGCATTTATGGTCTGGCCACATTGTTGTTTTAATGGAAGTCTACAAGGGGAAAGACAAGAGTAGGAACTTAGAAAGAAGCCAAAGTCAGGCAGTTTCTCTTTCAACTCATAGCTATAAAAACAATAGCACATTTTCAAAGGTTGAAGAATGAACTTGACATAGCTAATTATTGCATTGGGCCCTCACTTAAGCTGACATCACATTGTTTGCACTTTGGAAATTGATTGGAGCATCTTAAAAGTTAATAACGTGGCTGGGGGCAGAGGCGCACGCCTGTAATCCCAGCAGCTTGGAAGGCTGAAGGATTGCGAGTTCAAAGCCAGCCTCAGCAACAGCGAGGCCCTAAGCAACTCAGTGAGACCCTGTCTCCAAATAAAATACAAAAAAAGGCTGGGGATGTGATTGAGTGACCCTGAGTTCAATTCCTGGTACCCTGCTGCCAAAAGTTAACGCAATGTGAAGCAATCCTTCCCCCATTTCCTAAAGAAAGTGCAGAACTCAGAGTCATCTATTGACTTTGCAGCAGAGAAAGCAAGAGGCTTTGTCAGCTCTGCCCTTCCCATGTGAGCAAAGTGTCAATGCTGAGGTTTCTGAGCATAAGGACTAAATGTCTCCCTTCCCTCCTCCCAAAACTGTCTTCCCAAAGCAGGGGAAAGAATTTCTTTTTTCTTTATTTTTTAATTAATTAATTGATTTTTTATTAGTTGCTAAAAATATTACAATAATCTTGACATCGTATATCATACATTTGATTCAAATGGGGTATGAATTCTTATTTTTCCATGTGTACAGATTGCAGGATCACATTGGTTATACAGCCACGTTTATACATTCTGCCATACTAGTGTCTGTTGTATTCTGCTGCCCTTCCTATCCTCTTCCTATCCCCCCTCACCTCCCCTCCCATCCCCTCTCTCTACCCCATCTACTGTAACACATTTCTCTCTCTCTCTTTTTTTTTTCCTTTCCCCTCACACCATCTTATATGTAATTTTGTATAACAATGAGGGTCAGGGAGGAAGAGCATGAGAAGAAGACTACCATTAAACAGGGACGAGAGGTGGGAGGGAATGGGAGAGAGGAGGGGAATTGCACGGAAGATGGAAAGGGAAGGAATTTCTAATTCACCTCTACTTAGGAGGCTTGAAGGTTTTGCCTTATGTAAACTCTGAAGAAGCAAAAACACACACAGTTAAAATACATACTTTGATGTCTTCCGTTTGGGCTTGTAATAAGAATGCTGCTATACACTGTCGATATCTGTTTTCATGTTGTATAAGGAAAGCATTTCTCAGCCCAAAGACTAGAAAGAGATATTAAAAAGACAAAAAGCCAAATCATTTAATATGAAATATGAACAGAAACCTGGAGTTTGTCTTTTACTTTGGTGTGTTTTTGCTTTAATGATGGTGGAGTTTTATTTATGTAGATTATTATGGAAAAAAATATCTGATTCCAAGGCCAAGACCCCACTATGTCCAAATAGAGCCCACTTTAATAAGAAAACCCTGTTTTCCTCAGCTAATGGCTTCTGGGAGTTGAGGAAATGCAACTATGTCTTAAGTGACAGACAACAGGCTCCCCATAGAAGCTGAGAACAGTTAAGCCGGTTGTGTGTATGTAAAGGTGTAGATAATAAAAATATGAAAAACAACAGATATTTTTTGTCCTCGTCCCTCCTTTTTAAATGCTCGTTTTTGTATTTAAAGGGAAGTCACATCAAAACAAAGCTTACAATCAAATTAAGATGGGACAAAAATGCAAAATACCTGAATGTTTCCCAACAGACCAAGAAAAGCCAAAAAAAAAACCTGTTTCAAATGATGCAATATCCACCAAATTACATGAAATGTGAAATGGAACAAAAAGGAATGCATAGTTTCTGTGTTTGCAAAAGAAACTGTCCTGTCATTTTCTGTCTTAAAAAAAAAAAAAAAAAAAAAAGACAGGAGGTACTGGAAGAGCACTTTCCTTTTTTTAACAGCAGGGACTCTGAAAATGGAAGGCTCTTCTTGAATTATTAATAATACAACATAGGGAGTAGAATTCTGCAGCTTATACATTCTTTCTACAGTTGTTAGTGTTCAGAAACAAACCAAAAACCAAAAAAAAAAAAAAAAAAAACAAGTCAGGGCTGTCTCCTGGTCACATAAAGTACTTCAGGAAGAAGAAAGAGCAAGTGACATTTATTCCTGACACTCCTTCAGTGTCATTGTTACTTGCTGAAGTTTTTGAGTTTAAGTCAGATTGATCTGAGGCAGATGGGGCTTCATTTCAGATTCAAAGTGACGCAGACTTGTTTTCTTAACTGCAAGAACCATTTCAGTATCACAGGTTATTCTCATAATAGTCCACAAAAAAAATTCATAATTTCTAAATTCTGTAGGAAAGTCTGCTAAGTCAGGTCATAGAATCTTGCCCAGTTTATCTGGAATAAGAACACTTATATCTAGTAAAAAGGCTTTCTGGAAAAAAGAACTGGCTGGGTTTGTTTTACTCCCTGATTTTTCTTCTTATAAATTCCCTGTAGCAAGTGAGCCCTTAAGAGATTATACTGTTGCTCTTGGCTGGCGTTTGGAATCTGTTTTCCTCAAAAATTTTAACTGCTTGGAACTCATCAGTTTGGATTATAATACGGGGATAAGGGTCCTGGCTAGGCCTGTGAAGTACAAAAAGATATGAGTGGGAATAACTTCTTTTCCGAGCATATTAATACAAAGCCTAATAACATTGTTTAGGCCCCATGTTAGGTTCTCCACCCCATCTGTTTTGTGTCATTTAAACCCCACAACAACTACATAAGATTAGGACAACTCGTTCCCACTTCAAAAAAATGAGGAAGCAAGAAGCTGATGCAAATCAATTTTTCTCAGTTCTCAAAGCTGTGTGTGGTGTCCCTGAAGTTTGGAGTTAGTCACTCACTCCAGTGCCCAGTCTCTTTCTCTTGTACCCACTTATCTTTTCCACTCTAGCTCATAAACTATATTTCAACAGTCAAAACAATAGACCCAGAAGAACAACAAAAACATAAAAAAATAAAGCAAGACATACTAGTTAACAAATTAGAAAATAAAACAGGTGGAAGTATAGTTTTTTAAAAAAAAGATATTTACTTTCATTTATTTTTAGAAAAGTTTCAGAGAATGAAAACCACGTATCTTCCAACATAATCTAGTGATGTCAGAGTTCCCATAAAGTTTAGTTCTTAAATCTGGCATGTCCCTGACTTAGCTGATCCCTCTGCTAAACTGCTTCCGCTTTCTTGAAGGGAGTTAGTACATCTTCCTCCATGTAAGATGCCAGAATCTTACATAGCCACTGGAGTAAGAGAATAAACTAGCACAGAGGCCCTCTGTGATATTGTTTCCCTTGTGAAAAAAATAAACAGGCAGAAGATGGAAGTGGTTTCTGGCCCTACATGCTGAATCCCTGCCTCACCTGCACGACTTGGTCATTCCTTAAGCAGGGAGGAGGCTCACACTGGAGGCAGACTTTGCCTGTGTCAGGCAAAATCCTCCTTTGGGGGTCGCTCTTAAGCTACTGTGGCTTATTCAAAATTGGCTTATGCTGTGTTTGGATGTCCAATGTCTCCCCAAGTCCCATGTGTTAAAGGCTTGGTCCTCAGGACTGTGGTTCTAGTGGGAGGTGGTTGAACCTTTAGGAGGTGGGCTTGGTAGGAGCTTTTTAAGTCATTAGGGTGTGTCCTCAAAGAGGATCATGGGACCCTTATCTTATTCTCTGCTTTTGACTTGAGGTGGGTCGTGTGCTCTGCCATGTGTTCCCATCACAAGCTTAAAGCAATGGGGCTCACTAATCACAGGCTGGCCTCTCCGAAACTGTGAGTCAAAATATGTCCTTTCTCTTTTATTTCAGTGGTGGTGGGATGATACTGGAGATTGAACTCAGGGTACTTGATCACTGAGCCACATCCCCAGCCTTATTTTGTATTTTATTTAGAGACAGGGCCTCACTGAGTTGCTTAGCGCCTTGTTTTTGCTAAGGCTGGGTTTGAACTCACGATCCTTGTGTCTCAGCCTCCCAAGCCACTGGGATTACAGGCATGTGCCACCGCGCCCAGATGTCCTTTCTCTTTATAAGTCAGGTATTCTGGGAATTTTGTTATAGTGATAAAAAGCTGATTAATACAGCCTATATAGACCATGATTTGTTCCATCAAAATTAAACATAAAAGGCCTTCTGACTTGCCCATGTCACCTTTCTTTTTCTTAATATTTATTTTTTAGTTTCAGGTGGACACAATATCTTTATTTTACATTCATGTGGTGGTGAGGATCAAACTCAGTGCCTTGTGCATGCTAGGCGAGCACTCTACCACTGAGCCACAACCCCAGCACCCCAATGCCACCTTTCAACAAGTCTTTTTGAAAGCAAAAATATAGGGGATAGAAGCTCTGTTTCTGGGTCCAAGCTTCCCTTGGAAGAGCCCTTTTGCTCCTGGGGAGAGAGAGAGAGATATTGCGTCCATTCATAAGTTAGTATGTGGAAATTAGTTAAATATATTTAAATAACATAACTACATCAATGTTGGCTATTCATTCATTCATCCATCCATCCATTCATTCATTCCCTATAAGGCTGTTCTACTATGTATGGGTTGGTCCTATGCTAGCCACTGAGCTAGGACTGGGGAAATTGCTTCCTGCTACTCCCATGGGACAGGAAGGTAGTCCTTACCTGCCTGGCCTCAGCTGGTATAGGAGCCTCCACCTGAGGCAGAGTAGCCATTTGCTTCCTTTTGAACATGCCATCACCTAACCAGCCTGGAGGAGACAAAATGTCCTTCCAGTCCCTCAGGGTCCTGGGGCTTTCATGACAGATTTACAGATCTTTCATTTTTCTGAGAGATCTTCAAGCTCATTGTGTTTCCAGAACCTGCTGAGTGGGTTGCTCTCAGGTAACACTCAGGAAATGCTTGAACAAATGTTTAAGAAGGATAAATTTCTTATGTATGACATGCATGTGTGTGTGTGTGTACATGTGTGTATACATGCCCAATTACCTCCTGACCAAGAAGCAAATATATATAGAAATTTATGTATACATTTATATATGTACATGTATTAGGTATTTCTTTCTGATAAAGTATAGCTTATTTAATTAGAATCTCACTCTTGTGGTCAAACGTGGTGGAGTTACACTGGTCATGTATTCATATATGAACATAGGAAAGTTGTGTCCAGTTCATTCTACTGTCTTTCCTATTCTTATGCCCCATCTTCCCTTCATTCCACTTTGACATTTCTTTTTATAGAGTGTTTGTAGTAACATGTCTTACACTTTCATAACATGTCATGGTTTAGCAGTGCTTGAACAATAGCAATAACAGCATTATAATGATGATAGGATAACAATACTAATAATAGCTATCATTTTTAGAGCATTACATGCATTATTTTATTTAATGCTCATGCAAACCCATGGAAGTAGACATCAGTATCCCTATTTTGTCAAGAGGAACCCAAGGCTTAAGCATTTAAGATCCCACAGCGAGCAAATGACCGAGCTGGGTCATTTGAGCACTGAATACCATATCCAATTTATAGAGTGATATATACCACGTAAGACTGCAGATGTCTTCTATGAAGACTTAAACTAGATTCATGTCCAGCTATTGAAAATGTCCAATATAAAACCGTGATGGCAAGCAGTGGAGTTGCATGATGGAAACAGACACGTACCTGACACGTGGAGCGGATCAATGCTTTTGACAACCAATCTATCTAGTGGAATGGGCTGATCGAGTACTATACAGGAGCCACCCTCTTTTATTACAGTTTGCAGCTCAGGAGTAAGTGAAGGACATATCAAACCAGTGTCTGCACTCCCAAGTTTCTGAAATTAAAGAGAAAAATAAAGCATTATATGGGAAACAAATATTGGTGCACATACCTGAAGGATATCCTGATGCAAATAGATTCTTTGAAAGAAGTCTATTTTTTATTTGTTCATTTAGATATAAATATTGGGCTTCATTTTAATATAATTATACAAGCATGAATATAATTGGTTTCAATTCAGTCCCCAGTACTTCCTCCTCTCCTTCCCCAACCCCTCCTGTTTCCTCTACTCTATGGCCTTTCTTCTATTTATTTGTAGTTTTTAAAATTAGTGTATCATGGATATAACTGAAGGTAAAATTCACTGTGTTGTATTCATATATGTATATAGGAGAGTTTGGTTAGATTTATTTCTACTGTAGAAACTATTTCTCAACATCTTACTATTTTAAATGGATTCTAAAAAGCATTTCCTCGAGCATAGTGATTTAAAGCAAATATAGATGACCTCAAATTGAATCACCTAAATAAGTAACGGTTGGCATCCATAATTGGGAAACACCTTAATCACCATCACATCACTGGAATCTCTCTTTAGTGTGGAGTTAGATGAATGAAAACGGGATCTTCATGTTGGCCATGCTGTGTGTGGGCTATAGTATGAAACCATAAATAGATTCTATGTTCTAGAATTTGTAAGTAACTAAAATTGTTTCCAATATCTAAGATGTTGAATATTCTGAAAAAGTATAAAGGATGTGATTTGCATGTACTGTAAACAGAATAGTAGAGAAAAAGATAAACTGATAGCATTTCTTATTTTTAAATCGAGTTGTGAAGTATGAGCCCAGAATATTGCCTGAATATAACCAATATGGTGCTCCATTAACTTGTGTGCTCTGGTTTGCATCATTGAACCACTTTTTTTTTTTTTTTTTTTTTTGGTACTAAAGATTGAATCTAGGGGCACTTACCACTGAGTCACACCCTTATCCCTTATTTTATTTAGAGACAGAGCCTTGTTAAGTTGCTGAAGTGGGCTTTCAATTTGTGATCCCACTACCTCAACCTCCTGAGCTGCTGGGATTATAGGCCTGTGCCACCATGCCCAGTTTTGCACCACTATTTGAAGTGAAGGTGAGCAGTGCTGGCATTAAGGTTTTTGAAGGGGGTAGAGATGTTTCAGAGTTTGATTTGCTCAGATATGCCAATCTCTGTAGCTTAAAATAGGAGGCCATACAAATTCTGAAACACTGATTGTCAGTGTTCTCCCACACCCACTCCCTCCCTAGCTAACCATCAGCTATTCATAGATTGATTAATGGGTATCTATTTTATTGCTTTAAGATCTTTGAATTATTTAGCTCAACTGACCAACCTGTCATCAAAAAGCTTGGTTCATTAAAATATGTGAGATGCTTACTCTCTTGATATTATCTGTATGAGGCAAGTCATTTGGTAAAGAAGCAAGAGAAATAACACATTAGACCCCCCCCTGAGGGCAGGTGTCTGAGAATCTTGGAGGAGCTGCCCTCTTGAGACCACTCACACTCACCATTCAGGGAGCAGACTATGAAACAAGGGATCAGAAAGAAAGGCTTTGGACCATCAGACCAGTAACTTAATTAATAGTGACAAACAGCAACATCAGTGATAATAATGGTAACAGTAATACTTAAGAAATATGAGAAATCCCTACTCTTTATAGCCCCTAGGTGACTCATTTTTTTTTCTATAACACCAGCTGTACATATTTGGCCTCTGCAGTTCTTATTCAGGTAGACACTGAAAGATCACAGCTCTTTCTAATGTCTATCTTCCCAAACATCATTTCTCAAGAATAATGTGAGCTTTCAAATCAGAATGATTTGTGGTGGATACTATTTTGCCACATGGCCACACACAGGTGGAGGGTCCCCACACTGGCAGCTCCAAGGTGGCCAATTTGTAAGTGCCAAGGTAGACAAAGAAATTTTGGGATTCCTGAGCTTAGTCAGGTCAGGCCCCATGGTTTCTGTGTACCTTGAGGGTATACGGACTAAGTTGTTCTAAAATGGGTATCTCCCTTAACAAACTTGAGAAATGCAATTTGCTTATTACTTATATAATTTTTTAGAAGGAAAGATCCAATTGAATGTATAAGAATATTGCATGGTTTGAACAGAGCCTATTTGAAATATTTTTTTTATCTAATTTAGAAACGTATTTAGAAATAGTTTTACCTTTTTGCTGCGTTTAGTTTTTGTAATTAAGAGGAAATCATCAAAGAGGAACAGATACACATCTAGGAATCTTGTGCTTTCTGAGAAAAGAAAGAGAAGGTTAAAATGGGGACTTGAAATAGTAGGTAGAATTCTTTTTTTTTTTTTTTAAATCAAAGAATCTCTTAGAAAACAAAACAGGGGTGGCTGGTCACTCAGGGAGATCCCATCAAGTGAATCAGAAAACTGTCTTCCTCAGTGTTGAATTGATTTCTTCCTAAGACCTGATTAGAGCTCAAGCTTTCAACTTTAAGGACATTGTATTTGTGATGCATTTCAAGAAAATCTAAGGTAACTCATGATATTCTCTATGGTTTCAACTAAGCCCAGTACAAATCCATTAGCAAATTGAACTTGCTGCATTTTTCCATCTTGACTCATCTATTGGGGTGGTCATTGGCCAAGACCCATGTTTACTCAGAAAAAAAAAGATATTTTGTCATTGTTATGGACTGAACTGGGACCCCCTACCCCAATTCATACATTGAAGCCCTAACCCCAATGTGATTGTATATGGAGTAAGGAAGTAATTAAGGTAAAATAGGTCATGAGGATAACCCAATAGGATTAGTGTCCTCTCTCTCTGCCATATGAGGACACAATAAGAAGGAGGACATCCACAGGCCAGGAAGAGAGCCTGCCCAGGAACCACCAGGAACACAATGGGCTAGTGCCTCCATTGGAGACTTCTGCCTCCAGTGTATGAGAAATGCTTTCTGTTGCCACCTGGTCTATAGAATTTTGTTTGGATGCTCTGTTTGACTAAAACAGTCATTAAACTACTTATTTCCCATGTTTCACAATGTGTCTATGTAATTAAATATTATCCACATAGTTTTAAGATTATAAACTTTTCTGATAACTGAGCCAGGGGACAAAAAGGCAGTCAGTGTAGGTGGTGAATGATTGGGCTAGAAAGATGGGGGCTGATTCAGGAGGAAATGAAATATTAACACCTTCAGGACACTTCCCCCTCCTCTACCGGTTGCCAAGGTGACCCGCCTCCAGGGGACTGTTCCTGCCTATAAGGAGTTGTTAATGAATGAATGCCTCCTGGGCCGCTGGCTTCCTTTCCCCACACAGGATCCCTCCACCTGTGGCCCACCTTTAGGGTCGCTAGTCATGTAGCAGGAGAGCAGAAGGAGAGAGACAGGATGGGGGAGAAGACAGCATGAGAACAAAGGAAATCTAAAATGTATAAAAGGGGCAGAACATCCCCCCCCCACTTCCTCAGACACCCAGCTCCAGGGAACCTTCTCTGCAGAGAAGTCTGTCTCTGTTCTATCCTTTAAATAAAACTTGCATCACCATTTCTTGGGTGTTCAACTTCAACATCAGGGGAAACAGAACTGATTGATTCTCATCATTGACATCAATACCACTTTTGATAAGTTATTTAAGGCAAATAGGCTTTTCTACTTTTCCCTAAGAAAGAAATAGTAGGGAAGAGAAATCAAATATTAGAATAAAGTATCTCTTTCTTCATTTTACTCTATTCATTAGAAATTAGAAAAATAAATGGTTAAATTTAGGTGATTTCAGAGGAAAAGACAGTGTTTGGAAGGAATGTGACAGATTCTTAGAGGAAATCAAGTAATTCTTTTTATTATTTTTTTAGTTGTAGATGAACAAAATACCTTTATTTTATTCATTTATTTTTATGTGGTGCTGAGGATTGAACCCAGTGCCTCACACATGCTAGACAAGAGCTCTACCACTGAGCCACAACCCAGCCCAAGTGATTATTTTTGTTTGTTCTACTTATTTTATTCATTTGTATTAATCTGCTTTCACTCCTAGAAAATAGGTGGCAATGACCAAAAAATGAATAGATAAAGTTATTTAGGATTCATTTCTACTTTCTTCTCTTGTATTAAGATTAGAGGAAAGATCCTTCTATGTTTGTATAGAAGAGAAATCAGAAAGCATATTCAATTATCCTTGCATGTTTTTAAAGATTGCCTCACAAACAGTGTTTTCCTTTTCATAAATCAGGCTATGCAAAGACTGCTGTTTGTCCCTCAAAAAACTTCTCCCCTTCTCTTGTGATAATGAACTTCCTAAGTTTTAGTGGGTACACATCCACAGAGAATAAATAGTATATCTCCTGTTTTCCCTTATAGCTGGATATGACCAAGGAACTAAATTCTGAGTCACATTGCCACTTATGAGTCATATCCCGGGAGGGTGGGCCGAGTCCTTTCAAGGGCCCCCTCCTCCTCACATGGTGGAATACAGACACGTTGGTGGGTCATCTTGGGACACACAGAAGAAAGCAATGTCTAAGAGATAGCAATAACACAGAGGTAGTTGGGTCCCTAAACATTTCGTGGAGTGGAGCAGTCGGATAGTTTGGGATTGAACATGAGAGAGGAATAATCTTTTAAAATGATTGATATCTCTCCAGTGGCACAGAGGGCTAGGAATGGGATGTCCGGACTGTATTAGATCTTCCATCTTGGTCAACTCAGGCTGCTGTAATAAAATATCATAAGCTAGGTGCCTTAAACCAAACAAATTTATTTCCCACAATTCAGGAGGCTGAGAAATCCAAGCTCAAAGTACTGGCCGATTTAACTCCCAGGGAAGGCTCTCTTCCCTCTTGCAGATGGCTGCCTTCCAATATGTCCTCTGTGGCAAAGGAGGAGAACAAGCTCTCTTGTGTCCTGCTGTGAGGGCACATAACCAATTAGATCAGGGCTCCACTCTTGTGCCTCATTTTATATTAATTACTTCCCATACACTTACACCAGGGGTTAGGGCCTCAGTATATGGACTGTGTGTACACAGCAGGGAGGGGGTGTGATTCAGTCCATAGCAACCCGTAAGACCTGTTTATTTGTTTTCCTCACCTTCTGCTGCTCTCACATGAATTAGCTTGATGAGCACTGTTAAAATGAAATAGTTTTGTGTTTTCTTCTTAATTTCAAATACTTCATATGAACAAATGGGTAACAAAGACCTTCTATGTCCTAGACTTTATTGTAGGAAATTTTGATTGTTTTAGAACAGTTTATGGAGCCCCCCCATGTTCCACCAAGTAGCCAACAAACTTGGAACATCTATTATGCATCTGTCATTTAGACACTGTCCTGCCTTCAGGGAGCTTTAGTTCTAGGGGAGCCAATTCATAGTAAACCTGCAAACAAGGTCTAAAATAAGATAGATGTATCTAGAAACGATTATTGCTAGGGAGAAAAATATGATCATTTCTGAAAGTGAAGGACTGAGGAGGAAGATGGTAAGTCCCAAATCAGTTCACATGTATTATTCCAGTAGTTTAAGGCTATTGAAGCCCAGTGATAACTTTCACCGAGAGTTATTTCTCTTGGGTAATGAACACGGTGAGTTGGGAATTAGAATCATATAATTGCTATGCAACCTGACCTGAGACTTACACATTTTTGCAATGGTGTGTCAACCTGGTCTTTATTGTCTTCATAGATTCTGAACTGTGGTGGAGCACGGAGCAGCACTACCGCCTTACTTCTGTTCTGCAGCAGTGTGAACAGCACCTGCACTTCGGGTGTTACAGCTGTGGGGCAGACAGAGTCTACCCTTCACTGACTGTTTTATTTAGAGCTGCCAGTCAGAGGGGAGCAATACATTTGGGAAGGAAGCACACAGCCTGAATGCCAATGGCAATTATAGTTAGGCTCCGAAAGTTATGAAAACGAGTACCTTCTGGCACTAAAAAAGGAACATACTTATTTGGTCATCATAGTACAGTTTTGAAGACTTGGAAGAAATTTGGAAACACAACCTATGTGTCAGGTTTCATTACCATCATTGTCATTGTCATCATCATTATTAACATTTAGAGGAGGTTATGGAAATTTAATCAGTTTTCCCAGAGCCATAGTTGGTGCTGGATCCCCTGATTTTTTTCTTTCTCTTTTTTTAAATCGCTGCTAGGATTTAGCACAGGGCCTTGTGCATGGCAAACTTGAGCTCTACCACTGACCTACTTCCCCAGAACCTCTGCTGATTCTTGGCTCAGTACTTTTCCCATCCAAAAACAATGTCCAATTTCTTCTAGTGTTATTATCCCTGCCCCATCAAATCCCTGTTTAACTCTAAGGCAGAGTTCCACTGACTTGAAACTTGATTCCCTGTTATATACTCTATGGGGTCTCCTCTGCTGGAATTTTCCTAACCCAGATTCTACTATCAATCAATGTCCTGGTATTAGTAATGTTATGTAGCTCATCCCCATTCTACCACAGGTGATTCTATATGAAGAATTTTCTAGAAAAGGTGGGTCTATGTGTAAAGTACTGGCCAAGTCTTAGGTGAATCTCCACCTGGGCTTCCATGACAGTACATGACAGGAGATGTTCGGTCAGCTTGCCTTTGATTTCCCATCATGCCCGCACCTGAACCTTACATTGACTCCCTGACCACTCTCTCCACCTTACATTGACTCCCTGACCACTCCCTCCATCAATACAGATTATAACACTTGAAGGCATCTGTGGCCTATTTCCTCTTCATCCACAATATCAATCATAAAGTCTTTCTGTTCTGCCTCTGAAATGCTTCTTGCATTTATCCTTTGCTATCATGTTCATTTCCTACACAGGCCAGTACCTCTCACACTGGTGGGAGGTTGGGAGGTAGAGGGAAAGGGAAACAAAATCTCTGATAACTTTAGGTGGAGGCCAGTTTTGGAGGGAGAGGCATATGTTTTTGGAGCAGGAAACAATAAATTTCTTGCTTCATTATTTTGATTTAGCCTTGTCATAATATATAATTACGTTGAAATGTTCAGTAACATTAAAGAAAAGTTGAAACTGTTGTCTTTCTACACAAAAGTGAGGGGTGGTGAATTATTGGCTAAGGATGGTTGAGTTCCACTGCCTTAGGGGATTCCTACTCTCCTTGCTTCTCTACTGAACTTCCTGCCCTGTCTTCCTGCTTTGGGATCCCTGGGCCATTTTGTGCATTGCTTCTAGAAAACTCTTTCTTCAGCACCCTTTAAGGCTTATCACATACCAAGAAGTGAATGACTAGGGCTAGGGGTACAGCTCACAGGAGAGTGCATGCTTAGCATAGGAGCATGTGAGAGGTCCTGGGTTCAATTCCCTGCACGTGTGTGTGCATGCACACACACACGTGTGCACACACACAACCGGGGCCAGGGGTGAAGTGATGATGTGATGACAGTGACTGCTGACCTTGACTGAGAACTACTCTATGCCAGACCTTGAACTTGTGAGCATGTAGACCTACCTTTTTGTTTTCACAGCAATATCATGAAATAGATAAAATTACCCCATCTTACAGAGAGTAAGTTCCATTGTGCAGTGTTCATTCAAGCTGGTTGCTCTCTGGTTCAGATCCACTGCTACCCTGGACATAGGTAAACAAATTCTCCCCATCCTTCAACCAACAGCAATGGAACAAATTATAAGGCATTAAAGACACTGGATTTTTAAACCAGTTATTTACCTGCAAGAGTTAATTTTCCTTCATAGAGAAGGTGTCTGTTGGTTGGAGACAAGATGTGTTCTGCTGTGTGGTCCTTAAAAATGTGTTTCAAACACTTGCAAAACAAGGGAGAAAAATAAAAGAGATGTTGTTAGTGATTGAAAAAGAACATGGGGCCAGGGCAATCAACTCCATCTAGAAAATTCAAGATGTTTAGAAATGTTAGTAGTCAGACTCTGGGACGGGAAAGGGTGGGAAAATATCTCTGAGGAACCCCCCCAAGAATGGCATGAGGGCATGAGCCTCCCCATGTACAATGGCACATGGGGAAGAGCTTTACCTCTTGCCAATAAAACTAGATTTATCCTTCAAGTGGACAGTGGGGGACTTTCTAAGACTATTGTATTTCCACCTGAATGTCCTACTTCCAGAAAGGGATGCAAGTCCTTAGTGATCCTTTTTTGTACCTCTGGAATGAAAAACCTTTTATCTCTATCCCAAAGTGGAGGCCATATTATAATCTCCTGTAGATGTCTGAATTTTTGGAAATTGTCAAGCCACTTCACTTTTCCTTCAAGATCTCCTGAAAGACAAGACACATCCAATGTATTTTTGAAGGCGTGACACACACCACAGCATAAATTTTAACCAATACTCACAGTAATCAGAGATACTGACTGGCCCTGGAGCAAATCACAATTTAGGTGTGCTTAATATAATCCTTGCTATTTAAATGTCTGAAAAAATCACTAATTTAAAACCAGACTTCTGCAGAGAAAGATAATACTAATAAAATCTTGGTGGTCTTTCTTACATGCCATACCATACATAGCCTATAAGTAGAGGAAGAAAAAAAAATACTAGACCAGCAAAGACAAATATATCGTTTTGTCCTAATCATAAAGTATACATTTACTTCAAGACAGGGATGATATTTTCTGGTAAGAATTTGATTTGCTCTTTGAAGATTTTTATTAATTTTCCAACAATATGTTGTTGCTATTGAGGACTACAAAAAATTTATTTTATTGGTTCTTCTTAGTTATACATGATAGTAGAATCCATTTTGATAAAATTATACAAGTCTAGGATACATCTTATTCTAATTAGGACCCCATTCTTGTGGGTGGGCATGATGGTGAGGTTCACTAAGGTATTTTCATAGGTGTACATAAGAAAATTCTTAGATTTATTCTACTTTCTGTCCTCTTCCTATCCCTCCTCCCTTTATTTTGTTCCCCTTTGTCTAATCTACTGAACTTCTCTTCTTCCCCTTCCTCCCCTTTATTGTGTTTAGCTTCCACATATCAGTGAAAACATTCAAACTCGGGCTTTGGGGGATTGGCTTACTTCACTTATATTCTCCAGAGCCATCCATTTAATGGCAAATGTCATGAATTCATTTTTCTTTATGGCTGAGTAATATTCCATGTGTATATAAACTGCAATTTCTTTATCCATTCATCTGTTGATGGATATCTAGGCTGGTTTACTAGCTTTGCTATTGTGAATTGTGCTTCTATAAACTATTGAGGTTTTGAAATAATGTTTGAAAACATGGGGGAAAGTTAGAGACCCATAGAATCACAATCACAAGGTTTGTGGAACCTGGAGAATTTGTCACATTTAAGGAGGACTTAAACGTAAAGGACACCCTTCTTTCCATAGTAAGAGGTCATCTCTTATTGAGATATCTCCAGTGGATTTGCTTTTATTTTCCCATCCAAATGATCCTCAATTACTTTAAAAGCTTTTAAAAAGAATTGATCTTTAATTGAATTTGTTGCTTTGCTATTTGATAAACTTAATTCCAATTCCTTAGGTTATTTTGGAATTTTCAGGAAAAAAATTGGAAAAGTGGAAAGGACAATCCCACTGCATTGCTATTTATTTTGTTTTTGAATTGGCAAAGGAACACAAATATGTTATTTTTGTACAGCTGTTAATTATCAATTGGAAGTGTTCCCTTTTGATGCCCACCAGGAAATCTTGCACTATGGGCATGTATCATGGACTTTATTTGAATTTTAATTATACAGAGATACCTAGGTACACTTCAGTCATCACAGGGCGTGTTCAATTCCTATCCCCAGATTTCTGTTCTTCTTGTAGTTGGCATTATTTTTTTGCAATGGCCCTGGACTTCAGTGATTTTTAAAAACGATGAGTATAATAGTTTTAAAACTATCCCCCATGGATAGTTTTCCATGGGGCCGACTGCCGTTTGCTTTGTGTGTGGGTTAAGCATGCATGTTAAAAATGAAGTGCCTTCAGTTATCTGGGAAGTAGAGCCCTTTCTGCCTGACCTCGCTTCTGAAACCCTTGGAGACAGAGCCACGTCCTGGGTTGACTTGGTGTTGGATTCTCATCAGCTCACCAGGATGTGACCAGACCCATTGTTTTGTGAGTGTGATTTGTAATAACCTCAGATGTGGATCCCATTTCCCAGAGTTGTGACCTCAAGTCAATGGAATTGCCTTCCGGAATGAAGCCCAGATGGTTTCCAGGAGCCCTGAGGCTCCCTGACTCTTATATTAAGCTCACATATCTCCAGGACTTACGGATTGACTTTTCCACCTTCTCCTTGATGGAGTAGATCATGATCTTCTCAGTGGAGTCCGAGCTCCGTTTCCAGATATTCTTCAGCAACAAGGGGTATCGAGTAAGCCTGTGTAGCGGGGCCACTAGCAGCTCAGGCAGGTGCAGCCGTCTGCACTGTTCGTTTTGCTCACACCACTGGGGAAGGCAAAAGCAAAGGCATCAGAGTACCACCTGCCCCATCACGGCACTGAGAAGCCTGGACCCAAGAAATTTTCAGAGATCTGAAAGGAATGCCCCTGCCAGGTGGCTGGGAAAACTTACAAGCCATGGACTCACCTTTGATTTTGAAAACTCCATTATAAACTGTCTGTAGCAAGCATCCATGTACCGGTGACAGATTCAGGGCCTGACCCTGGGTTCTTAGGAGTGATCAAGAGAATTATTGCACCTTACTGACTAACAGTGTTACTTGTCGGTTAAAGAAAGGCAAGGCTCCTTCATCTGTTTTGCCTTCCTAAAACGGTGATGATGGCAAAGGTCAGCAGACCCAGCCATATCCCACTGCTCAGTTCTCCTAAACGGGGAACTGAATCAAGACTTAGATGCACAAAAAAGTCTTGCTTACACGTCTCATGGAGAGTTTGATTTTGCCCATTGGCTTCTCCTAGTCTCTGGTCCTTGAGGAGAGTTCTGGTTTCACCAGTTTGGTTCCCGTTCTTATTGTGATGCATGATTAGGAGCATTGAGAATCAAGACTGAAGAGACAGAAAAGGGGAATGGAAGGAGCTTTGCTTGTTGGGTCAGTTCCTTGACTCTTCCTTGCTGGGAAGGATCAGGGCAGTGATCAAAAATGAAATCTGAAATCCAAGAGGCTAAGTTGAGCCACATGATTCAGAGCAAACCAGAAGGAGGAGAGAGTGAAGGACGCACCCACAGTTGTAATCTGGAGTGTCTGCAGTTGGGGTTTGGGGAAAGAGGCAGTTCTAGAGTATGCAAGCACAGGGGGAGACGGGGAAAGGAAGATGTATTGTGATGAGCTATACCCCGGAGTTCTATAAGTGATCTTTGAGAAACACAAGTAAATGGGACAATAGCTTTTGCATTAGTTTTGTCTGTTAGCTGCTTCTTGTTCTTCCTTTCTTTTTATTGTTTGGTATTGGGGAATTGAATCCAGGGGTGCTTAACCAAGGAGCAACATCCCAGCCCTTTTTGACATTTTGTTTAGAGACAGGATCTCACTGAGTTGCTTAGGGCCTCTTTGCGTTGCTGAGGCTGGCTTTGAACTTGTGATCCTGCTGCCTCAGCCTCCGGAGATGCTGGGATCACAGGTGTGCGCCACCATGCCTGGCTGATAGCTATTTCTTTGAATGTGACACTTCCTTGAATATAAGAGCCCTGGCTTTTTTGAAGGTGACATGCTGCGTGGAGGCAGATTGCTAGCATCTATGCAGAAAGTATGTTGAGGAGTATTGTTGACGGTATATTCTCTTCCTCTTCACTTACCCACCCGCTCAGGCCCAGTCGATCCTGAGTTCAAATACAAAAGGGTTATTAATATGGGCAGAATATTTGTGTTCCTTCAAAATTCCATATGTTGAAATCCCAGTGGGATGAAATCACAAGGTAATGAGGTCACCAGGGATATCAGTGCCCTTATAAAAGGGGCCTCAGACAACTCTCTAACTCTCTTCCCAACCATGGAAGAATTCAATGAGAAAGCAGGGGACTACAATTCAGAACCTGACCGTGCTGGCGCCCTGACCTCAGATTTCCAGACTCCAGGACTGTGAGGAGTAAATTTCTGTTGTTTTGAGCTCTCAGTCTCTGGTGCTGTGGGATAACCGTCCAGATCAGCTATGGCAGGGATCCTGCCCTCACATCAGTATTTTCCTGCTCTAGACTTTTCCTCATTTTCACCTTTATTCTCAGTTCCTTCCCCAGGTGAACTCCTTTGCCTTCTGACCCTTCAAGGTGGTCCTCGGGTGGGCCAGGTGCACTGTGGGAGGCCCCCCCCCCCCGCTTCCCCAGAGATGTCCCTATACCCAAATTTAGTTATTGCACTTCAGAGATTTAGGTACAATTCAAACTCCCACCAATCCAAAGCCCTCCCTGGATATTAACAAACTTATGGACATTAAGATTGTAATGGCTTTGTCTGGCTCTTGTTTCACCATTTCTTCGCTGAACAGCATGAGTCGATCACAGCCCCTCTGTCTTAGTCCATTTTCTGTTGCTGTGATAGAATATCCAAGATTGGGTAATTTATAAAGAAAATTTTTATTCCTTACAGTTCTGGGTGTTGGGAAGCTCAAAATCAGAAAGTCATATCTGGTGAGGACCTTCTTGTGTCTGGGGACTTTCTGCAGAGTCTCAGGGCAGTTCAGGGTACCACAGGGCGAGAGAACCAACAAGCCAGAGAGCTGGCTTTTATAACAAAGCCACTTCTTGGATAACCTATGACTCCATTAATCCATAAGTGAATTAGTCCATTCATGAGGACAGAGCACTCAGGACCCAGTACTTCTTGAAGGCTTCACTGGTTCCCACCTCTTAACCTCTCTGAGTCCTCATCCAGCTCCCAATGAGTTATGGTGAGGACATTCAAGCCATGGCACCCTTGGTTGATTTCTTATGTCAGTTTTCACTGTGAAGTCCCCTCTGGCCAACCGTCTTGTGAGTATGTGTTTAATTTCACTGGAGGTTTTGGGTTGTAGAGAGGGGTTGAATACAGAGCACACAACCCCACCCCCCCATGCCCCCTACATCATTTTCTTTTCCCATCTTCTTCGTTGCAAAGCGTGCGCTGTCTCTTCCCCCTCCAAATCCTCCCTTTCATCTCCTCGCCTTCTGCTTAGCAATTTGCAGTTCCATAGCTAGATCTTGTCCTTGGGTGTCTCGCCAGCCCCACTAGCTGCTTTATCAGGTATTGCTTTGAAAAGATTCAGAGCTATGCAAGAGGCATTAGTGATAAGTAACTCAGAGAAAGATCCAGAAGAGATATCAGAAGGCTTTAGTGTTTTGGGAAGCCTCAGAAGAGAGAGAAAAAAATGTTGGTTGAAAATTAGAGAAGTTCTAAGTTTTTCTTTCATCTCTCTATTTTGGCTTTATTTTTTCATGTCCATTAGGGAAATCAAAGAACGTAGAGATATTGGACATAAAAGGCTTTTTCATTAATGGATCTAGATAAATGGAAGCTACTTTTTATAAAATAATACATACCCGATGTGTTTAGAGGACAAATGGAAGGAGTTAAAGGGGCACAAATAAATAAATCTGTCTCCGTGGGACTGTTATGATTTAGATGTGGTGTCCCCAGAAGCTCACATGTGAGACAATGCAAGAAGGTTTGGAGGAGAAATGATTGGGTTCTAACCTTAACCTAATCAATGAATTAATTCCTGATAGGATTAACTAGGTGTTAGCTGGAGGCAGGTGGGGTGTGGCTGGAGGAAGTGGTTCATTGGGGGCGTGGCTCTGGGGTATATATTTGTATCTGGAGAGTGGAGTCTCTCTGTGCTTACTGATCATCACGTGAGCCTCTTCCCTTGGCCACACTCTACTGCCATGATGTTCTGCCTCACCTCCCAGTGTATTCACAGACCCAAGGAATGGAGCCTGCTGTCTATGGATTGAGACCTCTGAAACTGTGAGCCCTCATATAAATCTTTCCTCCTCTATAATTGTTCTAGTCGGGTCCTTTAGTCACAGCAGTGAGAAAGCTGACTAAAGCAGGGATGCAGCATTGGGCTGGGACAGTCAATATCCTTAGAACCTCGGGACGTTTACGTATCCTTTTCAAAACTCATCTGCCAAATGTAGATAATGATAGTAAGCACCTCATGGAGTTGGTGAGAGGTTTTAATGAGCTGATCCACACAAAAAAACATCGAACCGTGCCTGGAACATCCTGAAGTTCTAGAGTTCCAGACCCCCTGAGTTCTAGAGTTCTTAGCTGTTGTTAGCGATTGTTATTCTTAACTATTGTTAATTGAGCTACACTAGCAGACCTGGCCCAGAGTCCCACTCTATTCTGCTGCATCATACTAACTGGTTCCAAAATAGTGGGAAGAATTCTACTCCCATCAATGAGCACCAGGATAATGTATGTAATGTACATAACATTCATAAAGCCCAGCCTCGTGTGGGACAGAGGGTATATAGTTCCCAGTGCATTCACATAGTCCAATTTTAGGCCATCATGCAACATAAATTTAAATTCTCTAAGGAAGGTGTTTATATCAGGGAATAGTGAGAAGATGAAGGTCAGCTTCAGACAGGTCTGATTGAGAGTCTTCTTTGTGCCCCAGCACAACATATCTTATAGCAACTTGCCTGATCTGCTCAAGCTCCTGAAAATGGGAATGATATCAAATTCCACTGAGTTATTGTCAAGACAAAGAGGTCTCAGATGTCTGGTACAGAGCACGGTGCAAGGACTTAACGCTGGCCACTCTTCGAGTGTGAAGGATGCTTTTGTTCTGTGCTATGGGGCTGTGGAAGGCAGATTCCCCTCCAGCTCCTTCAGAGTCTCTCCCAGGCCCCATATCTTTATTTCATGAGGCTAACACTTCCCCGAGGAGTTGGAAACAGTGCTAGTGTAAACAGTGTTGAATTTTTTAGAAATTAGATTGAATTTATTTTAGCTGATATGTAGAAATTTTAAAGAATTATACAAACTATGGATTTCCATGTGATGCTGTGTTGCATGCATCCATTGCATAATGTTTAAGTCAGGTTCCATGTATCTTTCTTTGCCTAAAGACCTTTACATGGTTCTTCACGTGCTGTCTAATGGCTCTGAAAATGGTGTGTAACCTCTCTGAGCCTCAGGGAGTCATGAGAACAATGCATCAACATCATAGGTTTGTGCTAAGAACTAGAAAAGTCCCTTGTAAAGCATTCCTCATTATAAAAGCTTCACGTGTTATCCTAACAGCATGGTGTTCTTTGCTCCCTTCCCTCAATATCTCTGGATGCTGTATGTGTTCCACAGACTCATGTAAACCACCCTTCTCTGTCACAATTCATGTGGGATTTTTCCATCGTTATTTGAAAACGGTAGCTGGGTGGACCTTGCTACATTAACCTCTCCCTCCAGCTTGGAAGGGAGAGAAATGACCCAATGGCTTCCAGGGAAAACATGTGCAGCATGATTATTCTACATATTTGGAAATCCAATGAGCTTTCAGTTTTCAGTTTGAGTAACAAAGACAACACTGAAACGCTGAAGCAACAAAAATAAGCGCAACTCTCTTTGCCAAGATCATTTCCCTTTTCTTATCCTGCCACACCCAGGCTTCCTGGCACGCTGAAGCCATGGCAAAGGCCCACGGATTCAGGGCTGAGTCACTGGGAACCGCGGCTGTCTTTTCTGCCAGCCTCTTACAGCTGCAGGGGAAGGAGGGTTTTCTGGAAGGGCTTGGACCATTTTCTCTGAATCACTACTGAACAGGTACAATTCAGGTTACAGAAATAACAAAGGAAGGGTCAAAGGATTGGGGAGAGGTCCAGAAAAACTGGTTCCTGGTTTACTTATTAGCAAATGCTGAAGACCTAAAGACCCCCCCCCCCCCCCCACACACACACAAGAAAGTCTTTCTTGTAATGTTTTTGGGACCCAGAGATACCATATTGCACAATTCCAGAAGCAACACTTAGATTGTGCTCTGTGAGCTACTCTGGGGCGGGGAGGGGGGTGGTGGTGTGTACATGTAGAACACAATGTAAACGGTACTTCTACTTTTTGTGCTATAGGGCTTTTCTGGCACCAAATCCTACAAGGGTCAAATTTTTAGTCACCAACAAAGCTTACATTCTTATTCCGGTTGTCTCCTTACAAGGTACCGATTTCTACCAATGCACAAATAAAATGTTTCAAGTGCCAGTCAAAATTTGAAAAGGTGACTCAGATGGTGTCATGCTTCCAGATGCGTACAGTTTAAAGTTCCTCAGTGTGAAGTGGAGGGTGTATTTACAAGGGAAGTAGGATTCCAGTTATAATGTGTGGTAGCTCATTTAGTTCTCTTCTTTCCCAATAAATTTGGGTATCAGAATTCCCAGTATCTTTGACACCCTAAGAGTGTTAGGGAAAATATTGAAGAAGAAGAAGAAGAAGATAAACTGGTACTTTACTTTTAAATAAATGCTGAAGTCATCTCTCTGCCTCAGGCTCTCAAGATAAAACACAGCAGCAGAGTAATTCAGGCAATAGGTCTGGTGGCTCTGACAGAGGCTCCCTCGGAAATACTGCAAGAGGAGGAGAACCAAGGGCGGTTAGGGAGAGCACAGAGCCCTGCTGACTTCCTCCTTCCCTTCACTAGAATAGGGAAGAGCAAAGGAGACTCCATGATCCTGCAGGAGCTGTGACTGTGTGAATTAGACAGGAAATCTCCACAAGAAACATTCCTTTAAAAATTAGGGTTCTCCTGGGCTGGGGCTGGGGCTCAGTGGTAGAGCACTTGCCTAGCACATGCAAGGTGCTGGGTTCAATCCTCAGCACCACATAAAAATAAATAAATAAAATAAAGGTATTGTGTCCAAAATACAACTAAATTTTTTTTAAAAAAATATGGTATTCCCATAATAATATTAATACCTCAATAAATAGTCTCTCTCCCACCCCCTTGTTTAAAGAAAATTCGAGTCAGGACTTCTTGATTTAGTTTACCCTTTGATTTCCACTCAGGCTTTGTTGAGGCCAACACAACCTGCGTGGTACCAGTGACAAATACTGCCTTTGATTTCAGTGCCCGTGAAGGTTGAGGGTAAGCTTGAGTAGGTGGTGAGTAATCAAGGCAGCGACATTCACCTTTTCATCCAATGTTCTTAAAAAATGCTCATTTGTTTAATTCTCCTAGTTTCTAAAACTATAGTAACCTGGAACATCTCTCTCAAGTTCTGTATTTGAAAGTGTGTTAAAGACATTTAATAAAGAGTCTATTAATATCTCATTCTTTAGCACACTGTTTTTTTTTTTTTTTTAATGAGAAGCTGGTATTTCTCCAGACTGTTTACTAAGAATTAAATTTAGAAAATCTTTGACTTTTAAGGAATTGAGAGCACCTGAGATTTTAACTAATTCCCCAAACTTTACATTCTCTTTCTTATTTTTTATAGCTTTTAAAGTTTAAATCTGGTTTCAAAGTTGACTAAAGGATCCGCCTACTTCATACCTAACTTCCTACTTATTTTTACCTTGTGAAAACTCCCCTTTCTTCATATCTCACCTTCAGGATTATTTTCCAGGAAGTACTTCCTTCCAGTAACTGCCCCACCTTCTGCCCCAAAGTAGAAGGTTTCCTTTGTTGGATGCTTATAATAGCTATGTTTTTTTTCTGCAGCATTCCTCTGAATTTGATTATATAATCATTAGTCCCATTATTGGATTAATTTCTCTTCCTTTGGACTGCAAATTCCTCAAGACATGGAGCTTGTCTAATTTTGCATATTGTGTACAGAATATCACCCTCATACATAGCACTTACTAAGTGCTCAATAAATCTCAGTCTATGACTTTTTATATGGAGTATAAGAATTCAAATCTTGCTAAATGTCATTAGATAGGAATTGGGTGAAAAAGGTCAAAGTAAAAAAAAATAGGTGGGGGGTGAGGTCAAGAAATAAGTAGCACTTGTCAAACCAGGGCTACCAATTTTTCTTTTCTCCTCATTTCACATGCAGAAATATTATCAAGGGTACTGACGGATTTGAAAGTTTATTTTGTTCCTTTCTGAGGGACTGGCACTTTTGTTACAAGAACAATTCAACCATGTAATTAGTGAACACTAAACTATTGCCATGAATATTGCTTTAAATTGAAGTCATTTAAAAAACAGACTTGGAAATGGATTTTCCATGCATGCAGATCTTTGTGTCAATAAAACCCGGAGGAGATGTGACACTGGGAAAACAAAATCTGCAAGTTATTTTTGAAAATGTTGATTGGTGCAGAAGGGGATGGTTCCTTTGTGGGAGGGTAGTGGGAAAAATTTCCCAGAAACCAAGAAAATCAAGTAGCTATGAACAACCATCCTGGGAGGTGGGTGAATTCATTGCAGGAAGCTGAGCTCTCTCCGAGGGATCTTACCTTTGCAAGCACAGAAAGGAAATCCATCAATGGTGAAGTCTCAGAAGCTTCTACGTAGACCTTGATGATGCTGAAAAGACTGTTCACAAAACCAAGGCTTGTCTAGAGCCAGAGAGAAAGAAAACAAGAGTAGGCACACACGGAGGGCTGAGGGATAAAAATTTGATGAACCTCAAATATCATTCTTACAAATGCTTCCCATTTCAAATTCACCTCCTAGCAAAATATCAAAGATTTATTTTACTCTCCTCTTAAATTATATATATATATAAAAGGAGGGTAGAGAGCAAGAAGGATTTATTTTTAAAGACTTATATATATTATGGTATATATAATATTACAAGTTTTTTTTATTATACTTTTTATTATATTTATTTTTAAAGACATATATATTATATTTATTTTTAAAGACTTATGTATATAACATATTATATACCTATTATAAGTCTTTAAAAATAAATCCTTCTTGCTATCTCTCTACCCTCCTTTTTGAAAGATACTGTTCACTTATAATATATGTGATAAAAGGATCTTCACTTAAAAAATAAACATTTATAAAGATGATGGAGATCTTAGGAATATTTCTACTTTCTTAAATAGTCATGGAAAAATAAAAAGTGAGGGTTAAGGAATATCTACAATCTCTTGGAAAATGTTGGTGGATGTTTAGCCATCCTTATAAATCTGAACTTCTAATCATCAGATTATGTGGGGATAGAAGATGTAATAAAGCATATTTCAATTTCCATTAAGGAATACAAGACCTGTGGATGCACCATGCATGAATTTTCAAGATCATCTGGTGAATTTTAACACATCCCTACTTCCTACTTTGGCTCACCTGAGTTAACTCCTCCAGGTTTGCAAAAAGTCTCCATAGATCCACATCCAGGAGATATTCGTGAATTTGAAGATATTTTAATGTATTCAAAAAGATCTTAAAAAAATAAATGCATATTACTTTTTGTTTTTAAAATTTGAAGCATGCCCTTTTCAGAAACTTTAAATATAATCCTTCTGGGTATAACCTTACAAAACAATGTAAATATCAGTATTCCCAAGGCTGAAGAATTACCCTCCATACAAATCATGACATTTAAGCTTCACAGAACACACGGGAGACGTGCTCTTCAGTGCAATGTTGCTCCTCATGTGAGTCCTGAGAACATGTCTGTGGAACATGATCAGTCCAAATGGTCTTGCTGCTTTCTGGGGCCAAGGAGTCCCAGAGGCTACCTTCTTGCCAACAGCCCTGACTGGAGAACAAAACAACTCTCCTGCTGTGTTCTCAGTTATTCTTTCCTCTGCCAAACTCCAGTGTTCTTTACTTTCACGGAATTAGAAATAGAAAATTAGTGAGTGAAAAGCTGAAAAATGGTAGAACGTTTTGAGTTGGATCAAGGTATCAAATATTCATGAAAACGTGAAGGGAGTCTGGGTTATTATTACTTGATTTGATGCTTTCACATGACAGGGGAACTAGACAGAAAGGGAAGGAAGGAGAACCACCATCCTCACAGATAAGTTGCTCTTCTACAAACTGAAGGGAGAGCAGCTAACGGGCATAGGAATACTGTGGATATAATGGATGGGCCACCTTCGAGGGGACAAAGAATTCTAAGGGTGAAAAGATGGGACAGGAGATGGCTAACTTTCTCTAGTTCCCATTCCCCAATATTTCATTAGTGCAGTGTAGAGGGTTCTTTTTTTCTGGGGGGCGGGGTGGTAGTAATAGAGATTGAGAACTTAACCCCAACCCTTTTATTTTTTGTTTTGATACAGGGTCTCACTAAGTTGCTTAGGGCTTTGCTAAACTGATGAGCCTAGCTTTTAACCTGTGGTCCTCTTGCCTCAGCCTCCTGAGCTGGGATTTCAGGCATGTGCCACCATGCCTGGCCAGTGTGTGGTTTTTGAACATGGATGAGACTTGCTTGGAGGTCTTGTTAAACCAGACCTTCACCCCCAGAGTTCTTGATTTAGTAGGTCTGTGATGAATCTGAGAATATGCATCTAACAAGTTCCCAGGTGATTGGGATGTAGCTGGTCCGAAGGCCACATGTTCATTACCATTGATTTACAACTTCCCCAATCCTTATAATACTGGTATCTGGAAACCTGTCAGTGTCCAAACATTTAAAACAGTTAATTGTAAAAAAAACAAGAACTCATTATAATAGCTCAACTAGGACAATTTAAAAGAAATATTCTTTTTGCTTTTAAAAAAGATTCATTGCTTTACAGAACATTTTTCCATTTTTAAGAAATACTGAGTTCTCTAGTATATTTATTTTACCATTTGAGTTACAAATTTTCAATTCATAAGCAACTTTGGGAAACTTGTTGATTGGTTGATTGTGAAAAGGGATGTACATAGTACATATATATTTAAATACTCTGGGGCATTTGAAAATATACCTTTTTTAAAAAAAATATTGGGAATTAAACCTGGGGGTGCTTTACCACTAATCTGTGTCCTCAACTTCTTTATTTTTTTTTATTTTGAGACAAGGTCTTGCTAAGATGGCTGAGGCTGGTTTTGATCTTGTGATCCTCCTACTTCAGCCTCCTCCTTTGCTGGGATTATAGGTCTGCACCATGGTGCCTGATGAAAATATGCATTTTCTTAAACCAAAAATGACAGTTTGGAAAGTTGGGCAGCTTACAGTGGGATGGAAATTTTTGTGCTATTTAGTAGGATAAGGGAGGTGCGTTGCTCAGGGGTTAAAGCTCTGCCGCGATCATTTGCTGGTTACCATGGGGTTGGGGTGCCCTTCCCTGATAGCAGCCTAGTTTTTACCTTAGTATCTTCTCCTCCCCAGGGAGCACACATGCCACATCTTACTCCCAAGGGATGGGCCTGGATTACCTTAGGTCAATTAGCATCCCTTCCTTATCTAGCTAGAGTAGTGGGTTTAGTTGTGAGCACATGATCTACACTGTCCAATCAGTATGGATCTCAAGATTCAGGCCATCAATGCAAGAAGATCTCTCTCTCTACCTGCTTCCTCTTCCTCTCTCTCTATTCATGAGTTCAAGGTCAGCAGCCATTTTTGTGACTAAGAGAAGCCAGTCATGGGAGGAGGCTGATGCCACAGAAGGTGGGAATAAAAGATGAAAAGAAATGTTGTCCCTGGTTTTGAGTTCTTTGATCACCCACTCTTGAATTCTCTCCCACCTCTGAACTTCACAGGCACAGGAGCCAGTAAAATCCTGTATTATTGAAGCTAGTTCTCTGTTAGCTTTTCCTATAAGCATCCTAACCAATATGGACTCTAAGTTTCAATTTGTGGTTTAAATTTTGCTAAGTAAGGTACTTAGTGCTGTGACTGTCAATAAATCTTACTGATAAAAAAACAACTGACACTCGCACGTAGCACTTAACAGATTTCAAAGGAAACACTTTGATCACCACAATGATTTAGTGCATAGCCAGAGGTGGCATAGTCACTCCCTTTTTATAGCTTAATACAGGGATCATCAAACTATTGCCTGCAGGCTGTAAATCTGCACTGCCACCTGCTTTTGTGAAGTATGTGGTACTGTGATCCTGTCGGTCGTGAATATTCCTTGACATATTATCTGTGGCCATTTTTGCACTGTGATGGCAGAACTGAGTAGTTAAAACAAACACCATGTGGTCTGCAAAGGCTGAAATATCTACTATTTGGATTGCTCTGGTTTCAATGTGTTCCCTGAAATTCATGTGCTGGGAACTTAATCCCCAATGCAACAGTGTTCCGAGGTGGGGCCCAAGGAGAGGTCACCAGGGCTCTGCTGCCAGGAATGGATTAATGTTGCTAACGTGGAGAAGGTTCATTATCACAAAGTTGTTATGACAGTGAGTTTCCCTCTTTATGACCTCTCTTGCCATATGACGCCTTCTGTCATTTTAAAGGCATCAAGAAAGCCCTGACCAGATGCATCTCCTCATCTTGTATCCCAACCTCCAGAAGCATGAGCCAAATAATTTAATTTCTTTTCCTTGACAGATCACCCAGTGAGATTGTGTTACAGCAACACAAAATGGGCTAAGATAAGGATCTTTACTATAAATGACTGCCAACCTCAGGTTTAGGACATGGAGGACTAGACTTTTCAGCAGTTACATGAGAGTTCAAAGGCAAATTCAGGGTTTGAACTCAGGTCTCCCAAAATAGTGCTTTTTTGCTGTGAGCGCCCAGTGCTATGGGCAGAGGCAACCTTGGTAGTCACATGGCCTCTCTTGTCCTACAGTCTTGGAAGAAAGCTGCTCCCTTTTCTCCTTGCTCTATGGTTCTTCTATAAGGAATCCTCTGCTCTGAGTCCCCCCGATCACATCCAGAGCCCATTCACACAGAGGATATCACGATGGTACTGTGTATTCTGATGACACTGCGTTACAAGTGGATGACAGCTCTGGAAATCTGCGACTGTGCCCTGCAACTGACCAAAGCATTCACCTGGCACGGTTTGGGAGGAAGCAAGAACTCTGGGCCAGGAAGCCACCAAAGATGGGATAGGCTGCCTTGATGTAGCTGTGAAATCCTTGATTTAAGGATGTGTTAACACAGGTGAGATTTGGATAGTAGATGGGAAGCTGGGGTGATTTATTAGGTCTCCCTCAATCCTGAAAAGATGTGTTCAAGAAAAGAATGGAGAGACAACTAAGTAGTAGCTAAACAAAAATGAACAATGAAGAAAATGTTCTTCAAAATCCTGAGGAAGGGGGATAAAATCTCTTGAATCTCTTGACTTGCTTTTATTTTATTTTTTTAGCATGGAAGAGATAAGCAAATTCCCAAAGAACCAAATTAATATTTTTCATGTATTATAAAAATGAAAGCCTGTGTTACCATCTTAAGAACCAATAAATGGTCCAAGAAATAAGTGCATTCACTCGTGAAGAGTTCCCACACAGCCTCTTGCTGCTTTCCCAAGTCTGATCCATCAGGGGGGAGTTTCTGACGTGTTTCCATGACTTCGTTCCAGGTCTTATCCTGTACGTGGGGAGAAAAGAGAGAACAACACATTCCGCTCCCCCCCGTGGTTGACCTGCCTGCCGTCTGCTTTCCTTGCAGTGTGGTAGGAACCCTGCAGGCCCCCCGTGTCCCTGTTGGCAGTGGCTCCTCAAGCTACAAACCACAGCTTCTCCCTGTGGCTGGAGAAAGCCAGTCCTCCTGACACAAAGCATGGGAGTTTAAAATGCAGAGAAATTCAAGCTGACGATGCTTGGAATGTTGCGAGAGAATTTTACAAGTCCTGTATTTTATAACCTCCACGATCTGAGAAGCCTGATTCCAGGTTCTGCTGGCAAAGCTCATTGAAATTAACTACTCAAGAATCGAGAAATGAGAGTTTAAGACTCGACGAGACCTTAGAAATTGATTTATCCCAAACAACTAACTTTGCAAAGGCGGTTCTGAGACCAAGAGGGGCAAACCGTTGAAACAGCTAGAGTCATTTGTCCCTTAAGGACAGGATATGTTCTGAGAAGTGTGCTGTTGGCTGATTCTGTAGCTGTGTGAACCTCAGCATGTACTTGCACAGACTAAGGGGGTGACGATGTCACTAGGCCCTCGTGAGGAGACCCCCAGAGGTGTGGCCTGCTATTGACCAACACATCATTGTGCGGTGCTTGGCTGTCTTAATTCTTCCTTAGGGCTTCATGACCTGCCAGAGGCTCTCATTCGCATGACCTGATGGCAGATAGAGTGCCTTCCCCAGGTCTCAGTGTCCTGCCCAGCCCTGGGCTCCTCCCCTGTGCCAGCTGTACTTTGACAACTTAAAATAATGACCAAGAAAAGACAAAGGAAAAGCTGTGCCACTTTGTGAGTGATGCGTACCCTACCTTAAAGCGGCGGAACTCGTAGCCCCTGAAGTCTGTGATCTTCACAGAGGACAGGCAGTTTTCCAGCTCGGCGACCAGCTTGTGTTTGTCTTTGCTCTGCTTAAAGACGAATAGAAACAGGATTTTCAAATGTGAATTCTCAAGGACATGGTTTTGGTAGCTTCAGCATCTTCAGTTGATTCTCTGACATTTACGAGAACAACTAAACCACTAACAGACCCAGCCATGTTTAGGCATGAAGACTTCCGATGCCTTTTAAAAAAAAAATTGATTTGTTATATATGACAACAGAATGCATTACAATTCATGTTGCATAGATAGAGCACAGCTTTTCATATCTCTGGTTGTACTCAAAGTATTGAGCTACATCCTTTGTGCCTTCTTACATGTACTTAGGGTAACGATGACCATCTCATTCCACCATCTTTCTTACTCCTATTCCCTTTCTGAGCTATAGTCAGATTCCTAGGACCACGGAGGAGCTGGTGGCAGAGGCTCATGAGAATTGTCTGTTGTAAACCTCTCCTCTCACTAATGGAAAAAAAGCAAAGAATGGTCATAGAATCAACAGAGGGACCCAAGTCTAGTGCCCACCTCTGGTTGATACCTGTCCTTCACAATTTCAACACTTCTGGACTCTGGACTGTAGGACATTTGCATAAGAAAGTGCCTCTGGCCTGTCAGTTCAATCCCTCAGTTGGCATATGACTAAATAAAACTCACAGTGTTAAATGGACTTGGCTAACACGATGATTCTGTGCTAAAGAACACCAGAATAGGAAAAATGCTAGTTTCCTTAAAACAGAGCTTCCCACTTATTTCTGTTTAGTCTTTATTCTTTTTTAGTTTGTTATTTTTAGAGGTACATAACAGTAGAATGTATTTTGACATATCATACATCATGGAGTATAACTTCCCATTCTTGTGGTTTTACATGATGTGGAGTTACACTGGTCGTGTATTCATATATGAACACAGGAAAGTTATGTCCGATTCATTCTAGTGTCTTTCTTATTCCTATTTCCCTCCCTTCCCTTCATTCTCTTTTGTCTAATCCAATAAACTTCTATTCTTCCCTCCTCCTCACTTATTTTGAGTTAGCACGTACATATCAGAAAGAACATTTGGCTTTTTTGTTTGTTTGTTTTTGGGATTGGCTTATTTCAATTAGGATGAGAGACTACAGTTCCATCCATTTACTGGAAAATGCCATAATTTCATTCTTCTTTATGGCTGAATAATATTCCATTGTGTATATGCAGCACAATTTCTTTATCTATTCATCCATTGAAAGGCACCTAGGTTGGTTCCATAGCTTAGCTATTGTTAATTGAGCTGACATAAACATCGATGTGGCTGCATTACACAGTCTTTATTCTTGTTTTAGAAATCTGACTTTAGGGCTGGGGTTGTTGTTCAGTGGTAGAGCACTCACCTAGAACATGCGAGGTGCTGGGTTCGATCCTCAGTACCACATAAAATAAATAAATAAAATAATTTTTTTTATTTATAGTGTCCAACTATAAATAAAAAAAAATCTGACTACAAAGATAATGTGATTATTGCAAAGAAAATTTGAAAAGCAAAAACACGATAAAAATTAAAGCTACTCATAATCCCCACCATCAGATAATCATTTTTATGATTATATTCATAATTAATTTTAAGGGGTGTCATTTTTACATGTCTTTCTATAACTTTATTTTTTCTTTTTCTTTTTCATAGCTTTATATAGGTAAAATTGAAATACAGTAAAATGCACATATTTGAAGTATGTAATCTAATCAGTTTTGACACATATGTAACCAATACAATCAACATAAAGAGCATTGCCATTACTTTTTTTTAAATTTGAAATTTCGTGAACTGTTTCCTGCATGATTTATTATGTTAAAAATCAATCACCTTAGGATATATAGAACCCCCCCTTACATCATCTATTTTAAAATTAAATGGAGCACTTATAAATATCTCAGAGGTCAAGGAAAAAAGCCCAAGAGAAGTAAATAAAAAGTGCTTTGAACTAAGTGATAAAAGCTTACAATATCAGGATCTGTGGGATGAAACAGTACTCAGATGAACATTTATAACTTAAAGTACTTGTATCAGAAAAAAATTAGAATCATAATCAAATTATTTTCAAATTATGTAGTAGGAAGGAAAAAATAAGAGTAGGAGCCAAAATATATGAAATAGAGAAGAAATAACGCCGCTAAACTTTAATAAAGATCAAACAAGCCTAATCAAGAAAAAAGCAAGAACACAAAAATGAATATGGATGGAAAGGGAGCTATCAAAATAACCCTACAGATGCTAAAAATAGACTAAGGGAATATTACAATTGTATGCTAACATCTGTGATAGCTTACATAACACAATAAATTCTATATTAGAGAAGGACCCACATGCTGCTGAGAAGAAAGTGTATTCGGTCATTGATGAATGAAATATTCTACACAAGTTGGGATAACTTGATTTTTAAAGGTGATCTGTTAAGAACATTTCCTTGATTCAGTATTCTATTGCAACAGCAGAAACTGCCCACATAAGCAGTTTGTGTTATCATTCAAACTAGGAAAAAAACTATCACATAACTGTGTATAGGGCTTTCTAAAGCCAACTTGGCTGCATTTCAGTGGCATGTTTATCACAAATAATTTCTCAGTTTGCTCTCTTGCCTCTGGGTGCAGGATGCTGGCAGGGATCTGAAGAATTTGGTGCAAAGGAATCAACGTTAAGGACATGAGAAGGCATGGGCTCTCTGCTGCTGTGGGGCTGAGAGGGGACCCTGGGATGGGTTCAGAGCGTGCTGAAGCCTGTGGCTGGTTTCTCAGGTGGGGTCGGAGCACAGACTGAGGAAATCTATTGTAGATTCTTTAGCCTCCACAGTAGCAAAGGAATCTTGGAGCCAGTTGGGGACCTCCTACAGAAATTGAGACATATGCCTTTTGTTGATGTCTGAAACCATAGTGACTGTGTGTTGTGGCAATAAAAAAAATCAGCAGCCAGTTGGAAAAGGCAGAAATTGAGACAATGGGAGCAGCTTTGGAGTTGCGGGAAAGTGGGAGCCAGCTCCGTTCCCTGAAGGGCATTCGCTGTGGCTTGCCATGGGTTTGACCAAACCTCCTAGTCAAAGCCTGGTGGCTATGCCAGGGAGAGGGGAGGAGAAGCTTCTTCCAGTGGACACAGTAACTTTTTAGAGTCACAGACTCACCTAGCTCCTTGCTGCTTCTCCTGTGGCAGCCTTAGCTAGGAGAAGAGAAGCACTGGGAGAGCATTTGAGAGGATATGGAGGATGGAGAAAAGTGAGAAGCCAAGGTAGATTCTGGGTTCTCAAATTTAGTCCCTAAGAGGTAATTGGGATGCGAACTTGCAGTAGACACTGGTGACAGGGAACTAGAGGGAAATTGAAGGTTAAGACAGAGTATTTACACTTTAGAATAGTTTGCAAAGAGTGACATTGATTCAGAGAGGACAGACAAGACCTTTAATAGTTCTGATGACAGAAAGGAGGAAGGAATGAGTGTTCAGGTCTGGTGATGGAGACCCCCCACAGTTAGAGGAGTGGTATGATGTCAGGGATAAAACAGACTGAGAGCCAGACTGCCTGAGATGGCTAGAGACAAATCCCTGTTTGGGGGTATAAGCTGAATGACCTCAGGCAAATTATTCAACCTCTCTGAACCTGTTTCCCCACTTGTGAAAAGGGGGTAAGAATGTTACCTACCTTGTTGGATTGTTGTGAGAATCTGAGTGCATGTATATAAAACAAGACATGAACAGACAAGGATATATGTAAATAGAAACAGTGCCTGGTGGCCTGGTAATGTGGTAGCATTACTTTAGCTTTATTACTTATATTTTTTATTGATAGGAAGAAAGGAAGGAGGGAAGACAGGCAGGTAAGAAAAGAAAAATCTGTAAAATAAGTGTGCAACATTGATGTGGATTATCCTTTATTAGGATATGAATCACTTGATAAGGCTCAGAGGATGAAGGAAGGAAAGAGACGTATTGATTTTAAGGGAAACAGATATTGTGTCCATATGGAAATGGGGCTTTTTGAGCAATGAACTTTCCTTCATTGCTGAGAACCTTTATCAAAGACATTTTGTCATTTCACAAGTCAGCCCTCCGTTTCCACAGGTTCCACATTCATGGATTCAGCTAATCACTGACCAAAAATATTCAAAGAACAATCGTGTTTGTACCGAACATGTACAGACTTTTTCTGGTCATTATTCCCTGAATGATGCAGAATAGCAAATATCTACATAGCACTTGCAAGTATTGGGTATTATAAGTAATAGAGATGATTTAAAGTGTACAGGAAGATGTGCTTAGGTTATACGCAAATACCATGCCATTTCATGTAAGGGACCTGAGTCTTCTTTTTTAGTGTCTCTCCATCACTGCCCCCCCACCCCAGAATGCAAACCATTTAGCATCCTCAATTTACACATCAGGCCTGACCTTTTCAACTGGCATCTTAGATGTCTATGGCCCAGTACTTGGCACATAACAGTCACCCAATACACATAGGGACATGCCGCTCCCTTATGGGGAAAGAAGGGCCTGATCTCAACAGCTTTAGGACATCCTGCCTGTGGCCAAGTTCTTTGCTTCTGAAGGAACATGTCTCCTGGAGCTTCCTTGACCTTGAGGTACCCTCAGGAGGGCCAAGGGGAAGTGACCCCCTTCTGGGACCTCAGACCTGACTAGTGACCAGCCCTGCCTCTGTTCACACAAGTAAGGTGCTCAGGAGAGGCCGCCCTGTCTCAGACCTACCAGGAAATGGAGCACACCCCTGAGTGGCTGAAGACAACAGCCTCAGTGACAAGGGTGTCACCTCATTATCAACAGGTTATGATTTGCAAATCGCAATATTCAGATCACATTTTGTATGAACTTTTTTATTTCTGAAAAACAATCATGTGAAAGTCCATCATATATCTGACTGTGAGAATAGGTAGTGTCGGGGGCCGCGCTGGGCACAAGTAAAGCACCCTCCTCAGCCCTGAGTGATGAAGGTACTGAACTGGCATCGCAGGCCACATAGTGTGCGAAGCAAGTGGGCCTTACCTCCGCTTGGCAAGGAAGGGCTTCAGCCCTGGGCTTGAGCGTTACCCAATGGGATTGGGCAACCCCCTTTCTGAAATTCTATCTCCTGCCTTATTTGGGTGGAATATTCTATGGAATGTCTTTTCCCTGATAAATAGAGGGGTTCTGGGGACACTTCTCTCTTGCCTTCCAGCAAGGAAGAGGACCCTTGAGGTCACAGAGCAGTCCCACCCTCAACCTGAGAAACTCATGTCTGTGTGTTGTGTGGTTTCTGTGTCGTTTTCTTAGCTTAATGTTGCAGCCAGCACCTTTGCACCCAGCTCATCTCATCGGCCCAGCCAGTTGGTGGGAAAGTAGTTTTCCAAACTCTAATTAACAATACTACTACTACTACTACTACTATGGCCACTCTTGATTGCTTACAAGTGCTCAGCTCTGGGGGATGCTCTATGTATATCCCGATTCCCTTATCACAACCACTCTGTGGGGCTGGCATTGTCACTTTCCACCTTTTGTTGGGGGTGGGGGGAATCTGAAGCTGAGGAAGGTGTATCAATGAGCCAAGGTCCTGGGGCAGGAAGTAAAGTAGATGGGATTGAAACCTCGGGGGGATTTTAATTTAGCTACTAGACTTAAAAGGCACGTCAAGACAACATGTGTCCATAGGACCATCGCAGATGTCAGCAACTGTTAACATACTGACTGGAGAGGCCATGTGGGCAGATTTTTAACAGAACAAGGCACAGTGACTTCCCATAAGGCCTCACAGCTGCTGGCTGCCATATACGGGTCTCAAAACTGGTACTGCCAGAGGCCAACATCAGTCTTTTCCCTTTCTCCAGAAAACAGGAGTGTGGGGTGCAGTCATGATCATGAATACTCCCCCCTCTACCCACGGCCTGCCAGGAAAGGCTTGACTTGTCCTAGGCCGTAAGGACTCAGGGACTGCTGATTTAGATTTATTACTCTTCAATAATTGACGGAACCAAGAACAAATTAAAAAACCCACTAGGATTAATCCAACAGACTCTCCCAGAAATAGAAGTGTATTTGTGGAATCTGTTTCTGTAATAGCTCATGAATTTTTTAATGTTCCCAGTATATATGGCGCTGCCTGCAACCCGGGGCACACACTCATGTAAGTTCTACTTCGCGGGGAGAGGTGCGTCCTCAGTCATACCAGGGTATAAATTCAGTGTTGTGAAGCATCACCATGTTAGAGCTGCTTCACGTTTTTGCAGAACTCATTAACTGCTGGCAATTAGCACTGTTTTGCTGCACAAAATGACACCATTTGGCATGTTCTATCGCCAATACTGTGGATGTGATGATATCATTTACATTTCATGTGCCATCTGCTTTTAGGCAGAGAGAAAGCAGAATAAAGAGACTCTTCAGCCGTTTCTTACTTTCTTAGCTACAGGAGGCTTAATTAAAAACAAAAAATGACAACGTGAGACACTTACCACTCCTCTCTTGGAGAAAGGCCATCTTGTTTTCTTGGATTCTGGTGGGTGAAATAAAAGCAAACATGTTGTAACTCAGAGCAACTGGTGACAGATCCTTGCAGGGCTTCGTGAAGCTTCCTTTTTGAAAATAAGCCAAACAGAATTCATCCTGCTTTCATTCTTTTGAAAATACATAGAATGAATATTTATATTTTTGCAAAGGAGTGAATGATGCAGTGTCTGACCTGGTTCTGCTGCCTAAAGATGAATCATGCAGGTACCAGGAATTGAGCCCAGGAATGCTTAACCACTGAGCCACATTCCCAGCCCTACTTAGCATTTTATTTAGAGATAGGTTTTCATTGAGCTGCTGCTTAGGGCCTCCCTAAGTTGCTAAGGCTGGCTTTGAACTCACGATCCTCCTGCTTCAGCCTCCCAGAGCTGTTAGGATTACAGGTCACACACCTGGCTCATGCAGGTCTTTACTAGGGTATTGTTTAGATTCCTTTCCATTATCACTTGGGGAGAAATCTATGAACTGCAATAAAGATGTTGAGTAATGGGCTGGGAAAAATAGCTCAGTAGGTAGAGTGCTTGCCTTGCTTGTATAAGGCCCTGGGTTCAATCCTTAGCACCACACACATACACACACACACACACACACACACACACACAAAGATGTTGAGTAATTATTAGAGAATCATAATGCTTTTGGGCTGAAAGGGCTGGGCCCTCATTCTTATGCCATATCCCACCACACAGACTTCAATCACGTGACCAAACTTGAGACTCAGTTTCTATTAACTCAGGAATCCCCAGATGCTGTTAAATGAGGATTCCTGAGATAGGGGACATCAACATGACATCACCAATCTTTATATGTTGTCTTGTTGCCATTGGCCACCATCCAAATCATCTTTAGGAGTGGCTTTGGGATGAGAAGAGAGTATTGTTCAGTCACACATTCTTTTGGTGACCAGGTAATAAAGATCTTTTGGTCCTTTTCTGATCTTTTGGTTTTAATGTTATTTCTGCTGCTCAGAAAAAAGCTGGAAATTCCCTCTTAGATTTATAGGATGTTCTGACCACTGGGTATAGAAAATAGAAGTCTTATTGGTCTGTCTGTCTTTCAGAAGTCTGGTTCATTGGGGGTGTCTTTCGAATGTTCAATCAGACAGAAGTAATTACAACATTCACTCAAAGGATGTGTTTGAGGGACCTGCTCTACTGTAACCTTGGATGAGACCTAATCAGCCCAACTGAGTATCCTCTCATTTATTATGACCACATTATTGATCTTTATAAATGGGAGAGTAGGTAAAATTTACTGTAGGGACAAATGAGATTCTCTATACTTAGCCCTCAAATGACTAGTGGTAAATTATGCAATTCAAAATGCAATATTTGGGATCCTTGGCAAATTTCTCTCCTCTTTTTTTCCCCCTAATTTTGAAAATAATTCTGAATACTTCATAAATATTCAGAAAAAGGTTTGAATGAGTCTTTGTTAAAACCACAATCTTTCATTATCTATCTTAAATATTATCTTTGCTGAATTAAGCTACTTTAATAGTATCTGAAGGTGGCACATATGTGCATCTAAGCTTGAGAGACCCTGCCATAGACCGTGAACTTGGAACATGAGACCTCTATTCTAAACACCTTGAGGAGCGGGCTTGGTGGGTTGTGGTAGAGAACATTGCTTGTCTTCTGTATTATGTGGTGCCTGCTATGATCCCAGGCACACAACTTACAAAACAGCTAGTATGAAATGGAAGCATCACACAGCCATCATGACCTTGCTCCTCACTGTAGTGATCCTCAAACTTCAGCTGGTACCAGGGTTTTGCAGAAAGCGAATTGCCGGACATCACTCTCAGAGTTCCTGATTCGGTATGTATGGGATGGGACCCCAGAAGCTGGATTTCTCACAACTTCTTGGGTGGGGGATGCCAATCCTGCTGATTTAAGACTAGTCTTGGGGACCCCTGATCTAGTTGTTCATGAGTGTGAGTGTTTATGAAGCATCATGAAACGTGTACTAACCTATGTTGAGAATACACTGGGTTCAGAACTACTTCTGCCTTATAGGGGTGGATCCTGAACACCCTCTCTCCCCTTGGTTTGGTTATTTGCGGTGTGGTAACATAGGGGACAATAGATGTTGGTCCTTATATGTTGTGCCACAATAGACAGTAGCTGTGGAAGAGACCTACACAGAATGAAGAGCTGTTCATTCTTCTGTATTCCTGGGGCTTCTGCATTCCACATCCAGAAGGCTACATCTGCCCATGTTGGGTGACTGATACAGACTGGTGGAAAGAGCTGGGGACCAGAAGTCTGGAGCTTAGATCCATTCCCTGGACACTAACCAGCTCACATGGTGACTAGGTTGCTTCTCCTTCTTGGGTCTCACTTTGCCCATATGTGAATAAGGAATGAGCTTGATTATTTTCAGACTGTTTTACCAGGTATCCAAAGTTTCTGGGGATTGCCTGGTGTGAGTCTTTTGGGTCTACTAAGATTTAGTCAATGCAACTTTACCTAGATCTATTTTATACTTTGGATTTTCATTAAGTTAAGATTTTTTTAGGTAAAACATCCAGCTAGGAACAAAACCAGCTTAAAGCTACTATTATGGGCAATCTTTAGACCTCATTTTTAGCTATCAAAGACTTCAGTTTTCTCACCCTCAGAACCATGAGGAAAGCACCCTGAACAACTGCTCTTTCCTTTCACAGCTGAGGAGTCAGCCCCAAAGCTGCCTTTCCCTGTTAGACACTAATCTGTTCTACCACCTTTGCTACCCCCTGGGACCACTCTGGTTGGAAAGGACCAAAGTGAGGCTGAAGTTCAGAAGTGGGTGGGAGATAAGCTTTGTAGCAATTATTGGCAAGCTGCCCATCATCCCAGTAAGGACACTCTGGTCCAAAATGGTCACTGTCACTGATGCAGCTCTCCTGGGTCCTCAACTTGGAATAAATTATGACAAGAGGACATCGTGAGGGGAGACCCATGCTTTATCCATCTCTGTAAATGGAATGCCTAAAACCAAGACTGGGAGTCAGCTATTTCCGGTCCTCTATGCCTGGGTCTGTTCTAATTGGCGAGACTTCTGTTCTAACTGGTCAGTGCACGTATTTCACGAGTTTTTAAATATTGGGAACATCTTCCTGGCTTATGGCATTATCTGTCCCAGAACAGGCTTATCATGAACATAGGCTGAATGAACAGGACCTGGATTCAGCAGCAGTAGTGGGTGGCACAGGTAATCTGCAGCTCCATCAGAAACCAGAAGGTCCCCGGGAAACACCTCGAGTCCAGGTAAGTTCAGCACCACAGAACTGCGCCTGCGCTCGTAGAACCTGTGCTTAAGAGAGGAAAGACGAGAGCTCAGAGCTGGGGTGCAGGTGGGATCATTGTTCAGACCCTCTCTGGTCACATAGACGTGGCTGCTCACCACCTGATATCTGTCCTCCTAGGAAAGTCTCAGGACCGCTTGAGGATCCAGGCACAGGTGGCCACAATGACACACACAGACTACATTTACTGGCCACCTCTTTGGTCCTTATTGACCATTTATAATTTTAACTAATCCAAACCAGAAGAGGCCATGTAGAAATACTAACATGAATGTATCTATTTGCTCTGATTGGGAAGGATACCAGGAGGAATTCCTAGTATCAAACACAAAAGTCTTGCCAATGAGGCACACTGCCTCAGAAGTGAGTAGGATGGTAGAGGTGGCCTCTGGCACTTCTAGTAATTCAAAGCCAGTTGTTTGAAGTCAGCATTGTTATTTTTCTTAGAGAAAAACAAGAACTATTGCAGGAAAAGCTTAGCAAGTATATATATATATATATATATATATATATATATATATATGCCTCTCTTTTCCTCTACTCTGTTTCATGAAATTTTCTTTCTGTTGGATGTTCACAAAATCAATAATTTAAGTATCAGACACAGTGGGGAGAAGGTCCAAAGTCACCGGGCATTTACAAAGTGCTATTCAAGGAACACAGCTGGAAGGGCGTCTGCCATGCCGGGAACTCGTCTGGTACAACGAATTCTAGAGATTCTCCGTTTCCTCATCAGGACCATGCAGATATTTCTTTAGTCTATTCTATGAAGCAGAAGACACAATTCCTTCTATTCACTGACAGATGTGATCTCGAAATTCTCTTTTAACAACCGACCATCTAGAATATAGGCGACTTCATGTAGATAGAGATTTTGGCTAATCCAAAGCAGAAGTAGTCATATGGAAATGTCAACACAAACGCTGAGGAACTGCCCAGGAAGTTGAGAGCTCAGGTTTGTCTTGCCCCTTTAGTTGTTATGATTTTGTTCATTGTCCTGTAGCACCCCTGCCTCCCCTGTCTCCCCTGTCTCCCAATTAGCCATGTGTGGCACTCTATGAATCTCTTAGTGCAGTTCTTTCTCTGAGCCTTCCACTTTCCTACCTGCCTGTTACTCTAGACATACCATGCTTTTAACCAAAGTCCCCTGGTTCTGACCTTCCCTGAGTGATAACTTTCTGCCTGTGCTTTCTCTCTTGCCTCTTAATTGTGCCATCTTGGATCTCATGGTTTCCTTCTTGTCTAGATGTCTGATGTTGGGGACTAGTCACGTCCTTTCATGTCCATCATGCTGCTGAACAAAATCTGGTTTACTTCAGCACCTTCCGTGGAACTTATTATGAACACCCATCCCTACGTCCCACCTTTGGGATCTTGATTCAGTAGGTCTGTGGCCAGCCCTGGTGTCAGTAGTTTGACTCAGTTCACCCTAGAAACTCACCAGAGTCAGAGAACAAACTAATTTTAAGGCTATAAATAACTTGATATATACCTTTCCTTCCTTGATATACACCTTTGCATTTTAAGGATTATTTCAAATGTTAAGCCTTTGGCTAAAAAACCTTTCCATACTGGTAGTAGGACAAATTGTTTAGCACTTTCTAATTGGTAAACAACTTAAATCCGGTAAATTTCTACAAGACATATGAAGAACGCCTCAGCCTCTGCTGTCGGCATATGAGAAAGTTTGCTGCTTTCTCATGCTTGCTCCAAAGAGTCTTTGCCAATTCTCTCTGGGACCCACTGGGTCAGGCCCTCAGCATTTTGTCCATAGTGACACGATCACCTCTTAACTTTTACCTTCAGCTGCATCTTTGTGATTCCTGTGCACAGTCACTAAACATGAGTAATCCACAATTTAAGTCCGACCTCGATCCCCTCTGCCTGCAGAAGCTCTTCATCTTATACCAGAGAAACACATTGTTAAGCCATGCACCCAGGCCTTCTGTGATACTCTTGATATTTTTTTACTTGACAATTTTTTTTTTCTGGAAATAGGGAATGGTTTGGAAATCCTAACAAAAATGGTGTTTTACACCTCTGTACTTTGGGAGTGTTTTGTCCCTTCTGACCCTCCCAAGCTTAATATGAAGAGATGCAGGCCCATGGGGTACCTATGTTAAGTAGCTTAAAAGGGAAACACATACATAAAATTTGGCTCAGCTTCATTCCATTATCTATATTTCCTGGGATTTAAAATTTGGTTTTACTTTCCTTTCTCTGATTTTCTCAATGCTTGGTCCCTGATGAACGTGAATGAATGAAACAATCCTCTGATCTCCTCCCTCATGGGAAATGATTTATTTTATAAGGTGGTTTTGTAGATTCATATCTTATTTCCTCTATTATCCTAAGCTCCTAGCTCCTGGTTTAAATCCTGCAACTTTGTAAGGATTCAGTAACATTTGTCAGGTAAATGGAACAATAACCAAACCTGTACAAGCTTAGAGCAATGAGCGTCCTTTTCGAGCACAAACTTCTGCAGAATGTGTGCTCCAGTGATGGTTAGCTTCATACTGGTCCTTGGACACTCTCTGCACCGCATGCCTCCATGCCTTGGTCAGGTAGTTCCCATCTGCCTGCCCATCTCCACTCTGTCTTACTGGCAAATTCCAGCATAGGTATTCTTCCCCCAGAAGTCTTTCCTGATCCACTCAGGAAAGGTCAATTCTCTCCTCTGCCACTCAGAAAGATTTCATTGAAGTCTCTAACTGGGTCTTTTTTTTTTTTTTTTTGTGCGGTGCTGGGGATTGAACCCAGGCCCTTGTGCATTCAAGGCAAGCACTCTATCAACTGAGCTGTATCCCCAGCCCTCTTACTAGGTCTTATGCATCTAATCACTGAGCATAAAATCTGACACAGAGCAAGTACTCAAATAAGCTTGTTGAATAAATACATATTGGCTGATAGAATAAAATATTGACAGACTTCAAATGAAGGTTTTATATTCTGAATCATAAATAAGTAATTATATGTATATAGAAAAGCCAAATATAATTTGAGTCCCCCCTACCTCCCCACCTTAGGTCCCGTTATAGGTGGTTAAATTGCCACTATCCATGTCTCTCTAGCCTGGGTAACTCTAGCATAAGGGAACTGTTTGGGACCACACAGGTCAGGTTCGGAGTTGAATTTACACATATGGACCTGCCTGGTACAGGTCTTGAGCCATGACCTTGGCTCTTTGTCTTTGTGGTCAAAACCCCGTGATGCTCATTCTGGGAGGTAGAGATGCCCCTGGAAAGGCATAACATAACCTGTGTGGATGTGAACATTTTTTGTTCATCAAGAAGGCATAGGGTTAATAACAATATCAAGAACCATAGCTGTTACCATACAGAGACCTAGGAAAACAATTAGAAAGAATACTTGCCCCCTGTAATATGAAGAGACATGGATTGGTGCAGAATATGTGCTCTTGCATTCCATGCCTGGTGGTGAACTAGATTTCTGGGGACCTGAAAAAGACCCTGATCTGTGTCACATGGAGTTGCTCAGATCATGGGATTAATGATACTAATGCAAATAGTTGTAATGAGATCAGCATGACTTTAAATTTAGGTCTCCTGTAGGTGTGAGAACACATGCTTGGTTCCAAACTGACGTCTCATTTTTGCTGTTCTAAATACTGGGATTGCTCCTTTTAAAAAGCAGCAGCCAGGCAGGATCATTGCCCTGGGTTCTGGATTGATTATCCACTGGAAGTGAGCATTGTAATGAGTTCAGACTCTTCACCCACCTTCCCCAAACAAAATAGTGTGTGCGTGGGGTAGAAGTATCCTGGGTAAAGGCAGCAGGAAGCAGAATTTTTAGAAATCTGATTTTCTCATGAGGAAATTAAACTAGGAAATAAAGTAATAATAAATGCAAAATATTTAGGGTGTGGCTGGCAACCTACTGTCACTATGAAAGTACAGTGCAATCTATGCTGCCCTCCATTTGTTTGGAAAAATACAACTAAAGAAATATCTTTGAGCAATGCATTTCTTGGTTGTTCTTTTCTGGTCTGATGCTTGGTTATTTTGATTCTTTGCTTCAGGACAAATTTCTGAATCCCTGGGGCTGTATAACTGGGTGCCTCACCTAGACTTTGCAGCCCTCTAGGGCTTGACACCCCTGCCTTGGCCTGCCCACCCCCACTCAGAAACCCCAGACACTAACCCTGAGTTGCGATGCCCCAAGCCGGTCAGATCCGAAGGGACTAGTCCCATGGTTGCAGGAATAATCTTGTCTCCCTCCTGGTACCAGAATGTCTCCTTATTCTGTCCTCTGCTGCAGATCGGAGGATCCATGGTGTGGGCTGGGACAGAAACAATGCAGAGAATCCAGGGAATTCCCCCCACTGCTGATCAGGCCCTGAGCCCATGAGTCAACGCTCAACAATGAAGCTGCTCTGTCGTGTTGGTGCCAGGAAAGTTTCTGGGTGCTAGAAATGTGCCCCCCAGTGGACGGACGCCCAATGCATACATTTTGTTGGTCTTGGTGACTATTACTCTTACAATCAGCCAGCAATTACTGAGCACCAGTTTTTCTAGGCACTTTGTTAAGTACCTACATGCATTATAATCAGATGGATTTCTCATAAGCACCCCAAGAAATGGACATTCTCATTCACATTTTAGATCAAAGGAAATCGAGGCTTAAAAAGATGGATAAAGGGCTGGGGCTGTAGCTCAGTTGGAAGAATGCCCACTTCGCATGTGTGAGGCACTGGGTTCGATCCTCAGCACCACATAAAAACAAATAAAGATACTGTGTCCAACTACAAATAAATTTTTTTTTAAAAAAAGATGGATAAAGAACTTGCCTAAGGACACATTGTTTTAGTGAACGACAGAACCAGAATCCAAAATTCAAATATGAAGAACCAACACCAAAAGGATTTGTAAATAGGAAGAAGAGAAAGAGATATGGCCAATCATTGTAAAGGACAAATACTCTGAAAAGCAGATATAATGATGGTAACTACTTTAGTAAAGGAAGGAGTATAATAGGTTGAATGG